TATTTGATTAAAAGAAAAAAAATAAAATAAAAATAAAGGAATTTTTTTTTTCATTATTTCTGTCAAACTACTGGGATTTTCAATTTGGAAATACGTAGAATAAAGATAAGAGCCAAGGATTTAAGTCCACATATATATTTAATCTGGCATGCCTGTATAGTGAAATATCAAGTTCTTTTTTTCTTAAATTATTCTACTTGAGGGCCAACTTTCTAGTCGCGTTCGCGATATACTGGAATATCTGGGGTCTTAGAACATGGGCTATGGCAATAGCTGTCATAAAAAAAGTAAATTTATATAAAAATATATATATATTTTTTTTGAATATTGCTAAATTATAATCAATCATGTATGTACATAAGTGCATTAAGCAGGATACTTTTATTTTTTTATTTTTTTATTTTTTTATTTTTTTATTTTTTTATTTTTTCATTTACGGATTATCACCGTATTACCTACGCAATCTACATTACATACTTACTTATTCTTCACATCCATCACCATCACCATCATCGTCATCGACACGCGCACATCCCCCTCCTCTTCTTTTTCCTTATGAGCATATGCTAAGTTTACTACTCTAACGCACGTTGGCTTGTGCAAACTTGCAAACTTCTTTTGAGTGACTAGATTAGTTGTTGCTACCGAAAAAAAAAAGTGTATGTATGTTGGATTTATTTATAGTAATTCATAGTAATTCATAGTAATATATATATATGTAGTAAACTCAGCCATATCACTATAGCGAATAAAAACAGGGGAACACACTTAAAAAAAAAAAAAAGGCAAGTAAGCATCCCACACACACATAAAATTTAATTACTACCTTTATACATACAAAATTGATTGAATGAAAATAATTAAGTGAAAAAAAATTGAAATTTCATATTTTAAATGTTTTGAAAAAACAACAAAAACATAAAAAGTAATTGCCTCGAGCCGGATTCGAACCGACGATCTCGTCATTACTAGTGACGCGCCTTACCAACTTGGCCATCAAGGCTTGTATTTTTAGCCCAATAACAGCTATATAATGGGAAAAAACATGACAGATATTTTTCAAAAATGGCATTTTACAAAGTTCCTTCTGAAATGGATATCTCCAGAAATGGACATGTCGACTCTCTTAAACAGTTTAACTGGCTTACAAGACATTGTAACCTTTATCTCTGCTTGGAGGGATTAAGAAATACAATTACAGCGTTGATGAAGACAAGTGGAGATAGGTTGGGAAGGTTTGGTTATTTTTAACCCCCTGTTCCTCGTAAGCTGGCATCAGGACTTATTTTCGGGCTGTTGGAGATGCAATGTTGAAGCCAAAATTAAAAGTTTATTATGAAAATGAAAAGATATATAGTATGGACAAGAAGGATAGCGCAGATGCTGATGTTATATAATTCTATAACCCTTGAATAAAAACAAACAAACAAACAAATTTACAAAGTTTTTTTTTGAAAATTTCGTTTTTAAAAAATAAAAGATACTGATTTAAAAGATATCGAGTTAATAGAATAAAAATATTTTTTAGTTTTTTTTTTTTAATAAAAAAAGGTTTTTAATTGTGTTAAATCCAAAGTTGTGAATTTTTATAGAATACCAGTTTGTAAATGATTTATTGTTTATATGCTTACTTTAATCATGATTATAATTTATTACTTTATTATATCAATGATAAAAGTAATGGCTAATATTAACAATAGGGTATTTAAGGATACTATCCTTTTTTTTAAGGTATTAGAGTGAGAAAAAAAATGAATTGTAAAAAGTCTCATTGAAGTACACTAAAGAAATACAAGTACATTTTAAGAAATGGTAAAGAATCTCAAATATAAATTATAGGAATCAGAATACTGAAACAAAAAGTCAAAAGTCAAATCAAGTTTAAATATTGGATAGACAAGAAAACTAGATTCAAAAAAAGTTAGAATTAAAAAATGTATTTAAAAAAAAAACTAATTTCTTCAAATCAATTTTTTTTTTTTTTTTGAATAGTGCAATAAAACAAATTGTTTTATTTCGATTTCAACTTTATAAGAAATGATATAATTTAAATTAATTGATAATAACAATGATTAATAATAATTAAAAAAAAATAAACTAAGCTTGAAGGTATACCTTTTGTAATTATGTAGAGAAAATGTTTGACATTTAACACACAACCACCATGTAATTCACAAGTACTAAGTACAACTAGTTGAGGTTCATATCTCAAAGATTTTGAAATGAGTTTTTTTTTTTTTTTAACAAAGTAAAGAAAAAAACAATATTATAAATTAGAAAACAATAAAAGGATTATTAAATTAGAAATAATATGGTAAATATTTTAAAGAATCATGAGTGTGACTAAATTTTTTTTTTTTTTTTCAAAATTGTAAAGTAACAAGTCCTTTTAAGGGTCCGATAACATGTTATCAAATTTTTTCTTTTTAATTAATTATAGGTAGGTAGTTTCTTGGTGTAACATTAAATATATTAAGGCGGGATATAATATTCAGGGGGGCGCAAAGAAAGAAAAGCAAAATCGTTAAGCACATACTTCTTGTACCAAGAGCTATAATTACAGCCATGCCAAAAAAAAAAAAATAAGAGATAAATTTTAAAGTAAGGTGATGTGAAATGGTTTATAAAAATAGTATAAAAAGGTATTGTTTTGGAAGGTTTATACTATTTTAATAATAATTATATATAACACAAATCCTTTTAAATATTTGAGGTTGATAAATGAGAATGAATTACAGTAAAGTTTAATAGAAAGAAAATATGGTATATATATATTTTTTCAAACCACCAGTTTAGCAAAAAAAAAAAACCAATTATAATTATAATGAATAGAAAAAAGAAAGAGTTTTTTAATTGAATTTGACATATTCGCTTAGAGTAACTGGATTAGACTTATTTAGAAATTGAAGAAGAAGAAGAAGAAAAAAAAATAATCGTTATTAACAGAGATTTAAAATCTCATGATATGACTAGGGTTGGTATATATGTATATTCACAAAAAAAGAATATAAGGTTATATATGTATATATGTTTCCTTAAAAAGAAATAGAAAAAAAAATAAAAGAGAGAAAAATGGGTAATAGACCAATAAGAAAAATTCCAAAGAAGAAGAAGAAGAAGAAAAAAAAAAAAAGACGCGTAAACCGTTAGAAAGAAAGATAGAAAGGGAAAAAGGAAGGAAAATTCCAACCATTAGTCCTTCTTCCATTTAAAGTAATCATGGTTTTTTTTTGTTATTTGAAGGTTTGCAACAACAATCATTTATTATTTTAAAGCTCTCATATTGAAGGAATAAAAAAAATTTTTTTTTTCACATTTTGACCAATTAATCAAATTGAATAAAAATTAAATAAATAACTAGTTGAATAGTTGGGTATATCATGCCATTAAATTGTCATGAGATGTTTATATTTTTTGTTGATTCTTTCTAAATTCTCTTGTAAAATTTTTTTTTCTTATTCTTCTTCTATTTGGACAAACTAGGTCCAAATATGTTATTTACACTTTTTGTTTGGCAGTTGCATCAGTATACATACATATATATATATATATATAAATAAATAAATAAATAAATAAATAAATAAAAGAACTGAATATGCATTAATTGATTGATTAATTAATTATAAGAGTGGCATGACAAAGTTTATTAAGAAAAAATTTTTTTTTTTTTCAGTGTGATGTATTTGTCGCACACACTGAATGAAAAAAAGTGCATACACACACGCATTTGTCATTTAAAGGTATATATATATATATAGAAGATTCATTTGGGTATAAAAAAAAAAGGATTATTCAACAACAGTAACAGTAACAGTAACAGTAACAGCATCAGGTTATTGCAACAAAAACAAAAAAAAATAATAATAACTTTTTAATGGGTATTTAGGGAGGGGGGAAGAGTGGTGATATATATATATATTTTTTTTAATTTTTTATAAATTGGGAATTGGGAGGGAATCTATATAGAAATTTTATTCAGGTGGTTGGTTGGTGGTAAAGTAAAAAAAAAAGAAAAAAAAAACTTCAAAAAACTTCAAAATATTAAAAATAAAAAAGTAGAACAAAGAAATCAACACCAACAGCAAATCAGAAAGAAATCTTTAACATATATATTTATTCGATGGATTATTATCTTGGTTAACGATAAATTTAAAACCCTTATATATATATATATTTTTTTTTTTTTTTTTAATATAAAGCTTGAAAAAATAATAAGCAAACAATTTCAAATTTGTTTTTTTAATAAAAAAAATAAACACTTAATCACGTGACCACTAGATGGAAAAGAAAAAGAAAACTTTCCATATATATCCATAAAAGCATAAACACTTTAAGCCCGTTTAGCTTAGGGGTAGAGCGTTGCACTCGTAATTTTCATGAGTATATGCAAAGGTCAGCGGTTCAATTCCGCTAGGGGGCAGATACCTTTTTTATTTATTTATTAAAAAGCCGTTTTTTTTGAATTTTTTTTTAAAAGTCAAAAATCCCCCCTCTCCTTTGTACCCCTCATCCATCCCCCCCTGAATTAGTGTGGGTCCTTTAGTCATCGAGAGTTTCTTCTTTTTTTTTCTTTTTTTTTTTTTTTAATTCCTTAGGAATAACCATAAAAAAAAAAATTTGGATCCACTTCCTTTCTTCTTTTCCTTTTTAACTCTTGTTTAAAATTAAAATTAAAATTAAAATTAAAATTAATTTTTTTTTTTAAACTACTATCATTTGTTGTTTGATGATACTAATTGTATACCTTGTATCTGCCTAACTATAAACTAAACAAACCAAACACAAAGTCTCCTTAAACAAAAAAAAAAAACCAAGTAAAACTATGGAAAGGAAGAACATCATGGGGGGTTATTTGAAAAAAAAAATACCCGTTTAAAATCATTTCATTTAATGAAAGCTAGATACTCTACAAATATAATCATACCATTAGTTAATTAATTTTCTTTCCCCATCCCCCCCATTTTTTTATTACCCTCGATAATAATACTCCATTTATTCTTTCAAGGAGAATCCTTATTATTATTATTATTCGACCCATCTCTCTTGTGACTATTGGTTGAAGAATAATGATGATACCCATCAGAGTCATCCACATCTTCTCCGACAGCAGCAGCAGCAGCAGCAGCGGCCGCCATTGCTGCATGGTGCTGGGTAAGCTCCTTGCCCTTGGTCGAGGTAGTAACATGACGAGGACTAGCAACTGAATTGTTATTGCTATTGCCATTAGATACCCCAGTGGCCGTGCTGGTCGTGGTATTCATTGTACCATTACCTCCACGAGCACCTGCAATTCCATTGGTGGAGACAGAAGCCATGCTACCATTCTTGGGCAAAGTCCCATTCATTGTTGTGTTAATATTGGTAGTAGTAGTAGTAGCAGCAGCAGCAGCAGCGGCAGCGGCAACAGCAGCAACAGCAGCACCATCTTCAGCACCAGCTTTTCCATCACGATGCAGCTGAGATTCAATGTCACGAAGTTGTTCTTCTCTAGCAAACAATTCCTTGCGTTTTTCTTGAATTTCACGTGAAACCTTTTCTTCAATATCCTTCAAGGTTTTTTGGTCCAGGTACATGCTATTATTTGCAGGGGTGGCACTTCCACCATTGAGCATAGGTTGAGCCAAAAAGTTGTGACGAGATCTTGACATGGGTTGGTCACTAAAAAAAAAAAAAAAAAAAAGATTAGAAAAAAAAAAGCAATATCCAAACTATTCTTTTCCCCCAAACTTTACTCATTGTATCCATTTCCTGAATTCTCTGAAAGCTTTTCAGTTCTGTACTTTTCATACAAAACCTCGTGGGTAATATCACGTAGCTCTTGCAAATGGGAGCCAAAAAGAACTGAACGAAGAGCAATAAAATCTGAGTGCTCAGTATCTTCAATGCGGACAGTCCCCCAGGGGTATTTACGGATTCTGATAAATTCATCTCCATCCTTGTCTGTTTCGTTAGAGCCCACAATGGCAAAGGGGACCAAGTCACGGAGGGCAATGCATTCTTCCAAGCACTCGTCGTCATTTGGGTCACAAGAAAAGTAATAAATGGGGATATTGTAGTCCTTAATATCCTGCATAATGACTTTTTTGTTAAAGGTGAGTTCCCCAGAGGTAAGAGTATCTGCTTTGGAAATAACTGGAATGACATTGACAAGAGAGGAAAGAGCAGTCATTACTTCAATATCAAGTTCGCGAAGACCATGACCTGTGGGGGCGACAAAGTAGAGGGCAACGTGTACGCGGTTATCTACAAAACGGGGGTTTCTCTTGACTCTTGATTCTTCTTCTAAAATCTCGTCAAATTGTTTTTTGAGATAATCGATAATCTTGTTGCAACATTTGGAATTATCGATATTGTCTCCAAATCCAGGTGTGTCTACTACTGAGAGGGTGATGACAGTTCCATCAGGTTCATTTAGGTCTATATGGGATTAAGTTAGGGCAATTTTTTTTAGAAATTTAGAGAGAGATTTTGAGAGAGATTTACAGAGAGAGAGAGAGAGAGAGAGAGAGATCGGAGAGGAAAATGAAGAAGAAAAAAAAAAAGAGGGTGGGGAAAAATGACAGGTCCAATGTGATGGATAACAATCAGACATACCAACAGTTCGGGTCCCAATCTCCATGGTGGGATTTGGAGGAGAGGTTGTACCCATTTCTGGGTAGACTTCACCTTCACAAAGGGTATTGATGAAGGTTGATTTGCCTGTTCCACTATGGCCGCAGACCATGAGGGTAAGTCTGAATCCTTTTTTGACAATTTTTCGGCGTCGCATTTGGTCCGGGGACCTCTAAATAATAAAAGAGTTTCCTTAGTTAGCATTGGATATGGTGGGGATAGAGAAAGATGATGAGAAGGTTTTTGTTGATAGGTATATAGGTATACAATATCAAAGGTGGAGGTATTTGTTTTTGAGATGATGCTACTCGACATTTTTTGGTTTAGTCTAGTTTTTTTTTTTTTTAATTTTTTAATTTTTATTTCAGATCTGTGTGAAGATTGCTTATTTTATTGTTCTTTTTAAGATTTGTTATTTAGAAGGAAAGTAAGAAAGTAAGAAAGTAAGAAAAAAAAATGGAAGGGAATAGGCTGGCTGGGTTTGTTTTGAAGGTTTATTTTATTTTATTTATTTTTTTTTAATTGACTTAAAGAGGAAATAATTATATAATTATTATTATCACGATGTGATTTAAATAATAAAATTATTTTAAAGTAAAATTTTAATTAAAACAACAACAAGTAAAACGTTTTGACATCAGCAGCAAAAAATAAATAAATAAATAAAAAACAAAGCTTTCCTTCTATATCTTAATTAATTATAATTATAATTATTATAATAATCTTCTTCTTCTTTAATAATCTTGTTCTTTTGTAAGTTGTTATGGCAACTGCTTGTCAAGATCTTTTTTAAACCTACGTACGAGGGGCTGGACATGAAAAAAGAAAAAAAAAAAAAAAAAAAAAGAAGAAGAAGAAGAAGAGATGCCTTTGATTTAGCTGTGCGGCGGGTTCTTTCCTGCATGGAAATAATAATATTTTTATATATATATTTAAGTAGGTTAAGAACTGATAAGCGTATATTTGAGAATGAAATCTTTTATTTATTTTTAAGTTATTTTATTTTTTAAGTTATTAGCCATGTCCAGCAATGTTTGCCTCATTTGGTCACATGCGTACTTTGTGACACTTTCAGCCACACCTCTTTGTGTAACCGAATTTGCTTTATTGTAGTATTATTGTAATAGTATTTTAGTGGTATTTTAGTGGTACTTTATTGGTACTATAGTTGTACCATAAAAAAATACTACAAATATTTGTTACCATTCAGCCTGCAATTCCATCAGCCAGCCTATTTAGAAGCCTTTCAAGCCTTTCAAGCCAGCCAGCCTGCCTACCAACCTGTCTGCCAACATGCCAACCTGCCCAGCCCAGCCCTTCGCCTGCCATTTTTTATTGTTGCAACGTTTAAAAATTTCTTTTTTTTTTTTTTTTTTTTTGTTGACTGCCAGAATTTCTTCTTTGGCTACTCCTAAGAAACCTCGTTGTTAGCATAAAAAAAGCCAGCCAGCCAGCCTTATAAAAAAAAAAAAAACATCACAACCACCATCACAACCATCACAACCCAGCCAGCCAGCCAGCCAGCCAGCCTAAAAACAGAAAAAAAAATAAAAAATAAAGCTGGTAGACAAACAAACAAACAATCAAACAGCTTGGTTGTTTTTTTTTTATATATAAATATAAACACATCATCACTGCTTTTTATTTTATTTTATTTTTTTTTTCAATTTTATTTGTAAATATCATTTTTTTATTATTATCAATATTCTCTATTTGATATCTTCAAAAATTTATATTATTATACAATTGCTTACTTACTTACTTGCTTGACTTTAACATTTGCTTTCTTCCTTATTTATAATACTGACTGATCCTTTCTTGCTGGTGGCTTTTTTTTTCTTGTAATTAATTGCTAATAATTAAATAAATCTCTTTCATCAAAAATCTTACAATCTTACAATCCATTATCTCACTATCTCACAATCTCACAATGTCTCAATATTCACCTCCAGCATCTGCTTCAAAACCAACAATCTCCATTGACATTGCTGCAACAACAACTACATTCATTCCTTCATCTTTATCATCTTCATCTCCATTACAGCCAAGGAAACATCACATTTCATCTCCAGTCACTCCAAACTCATCTTTGGCTTCTACAAACTCTTCTTCATACTCTAAAATTCACCACTCTCCACGACAACAAAACTTACATCAAATACTTCAACAACAACCTTTATCACCCTATTCTTCTCCATTATCACCCCAGCAAACTCCATCTCGCAAAAAACAACGCCAGGGATCTCTTGTTTATGGCGACCGGTTTATTCCAATGCGTAATGCAAATAACATCCAAGCAGCCTTCTCGCTGGCCAAGGAGGCCCCCCTTAGCAATTCAAACAACCAAAAAGAACAAACCACTCCAGTTGTGACTGAACTTCATCACCAAAAAAGTATGTATATTTATTATTTTTCTTTTTTGAAATGTTATATATATATATACATATAAAATCATTCGCCCTTTCTAACAAATTTCTAGTCGAACAAGCAAACAAAATCTACTCTACCCTCCTTAAAGCTGAGCTTTTTGGAAATGACGTTCCTTCTACAATTCCAGCTCCTCCTCCACAATCAATCATCACCCCTTCAAATTCAAACTCATCCCTTGCAGAACTTTCAGCTACTGACAACTTCAACTACTCTCGTACCCCCTCAAGCCAACACCAACGTCGCCCAAGTGTTGCCACTACCCTCTCCTCTTCTTCCAGCATGTCATCTTTTGCATCTTCATCATCATCTTCTTCCTCATCATCTTCCTCTTCCATTCACTACCCAGGGGTCATCACCCCTCCAAGAAGCATTCGCTCAACAAATACTACCCCAAGCAATGGTAACATTTTCCAATACAAGAGCGCTAACCGTAGCTCCTTCTCTACAAGTTACTACTCTAGACATAACTCGGATACCAGCCTTGAATCTGTCATGGCAACTCCTGAAAAAACCCCAAACACCTCCCGCAGATGCTCTGCTTCCGATGTCCTTTTCTCCGCCTCTTCCTCTTCTTCCTCTTATTCCTCCTTTTCATCATCCTTTACTACTCCTCACACCATTGATCCTACTCATCCCATGTACTCCACCTCGCCGGTTCGACTGGAGTCTCAAAAGCTGCTGCTTTCCCCTACACGCGCTCCACGAGGAATCTCTAAAATCCCTTACAAGGTCCTCGATGCCCCTGATCTTGTCGATGACTTTTATCTTAACCTTGTCGACTGGGGGTCCCAAAACGTTCTCGGAGTTGGTCTAGGCAGCAAGGTCTACATTTGGAACGCCGAAACAAGTTACGTGACTAATCTTTGCGACCTTGGATCCGAGGAAATGGTGACATCCATCTCCTGGATCAAACGTGGAACCCATCTTGCAATTGGAACACGCAGTGGCACCGTTCAAATTTGGGACGCTGAGCACCAAAAACTGGTCCGTAGCATGACTGGTCACGACAAGCGAGCAGGTGCGCTTGCATGGAACGGTCACATTCTTACCAGCGGCAGCAGAGACCGCACCATTCTGCATCGCGATGTGCGCATTGCAGATCATTATATTAAGCGGTTAACAGGACATAAGCAAGAGGTGTGCGGCCTCAAGTGGAACACTGAAGACAACCAGTTGGCTAGCGGCGGGAACGACAACCGGCTGATTGTATGGGACGGTATGAATGAGCAGCAGCTTTACCGGTTCACCGACCACAAGGCGGCTATCAAAGCCATTGCGTGGAGCCCTCATACCCGTGGACTTTTGGCCACTGGCGGAGGAACTGCTGACCGTCGCATCCGGTTTTGGAACACCTTAACAGGTACATGTTTGAATGAAATTGATACCGGTAGTCAGGTGTGCAACTTGGCATGGAGCAAGGTGTCGAACGAATTAGTGTCGACACATGGGTACTCCCAAAACCAGGTTGTTGTGTGGAAATACCCAACAATGCAACAGGTTGCTGTTCTTACGGGTCATTCATATCGTGTGCTATACTTGGCCATGAGTCCGGATGGCCGTACGATTGCAACTGGAGCTGGTGATGAAACGCTTAGATTTTGGAACATTTTCGATGATGCAAAGAATGGCAAGCAACAGTCTTCTCTTTTAGATGTGTTTCCTAAGTTGCGATAATAATGATGATGATTATGATGATTATGATGATTTTACGATAATGAGAATGATCTTGTACAAAAAAAAAATAATAAATAAAAGTGTAGTTTTAGTATTTGATTTGAATTTTTTTTTTATTTAAAACTAAGAATAAACCAAGTAAATCATAAGAAAAAGTTAAGTGTAGCTTTAAGCTTGGCAACCAAAAAAAAAAAACGTCTGCCTTGTCTTGAGACAATTGCACTATACAATGGAATGCTTACTTGTACCAATATTTTACTATTCTAAAAGACCTGGCAACAAGATAGGTTGGGGGATTTACTTATGGAGAATGAGGATAGCAAGCAGTCTTGGTGATGAAAATGAATGGAAATGAGAAGTGAGAACTGAAAGCTAAGCAGATTGAATAAGTGGGCTTTAATTTTCTTGATGATGCAGAAGGGGGGGGACAATAATTGGGCACGGCTTTGGGTAATGGTTGTTGGTCGACAATGAGCGCGTTCCAAAGCTAAGCTGTGGGCATTATATATATATATATATATAGAAATATGTTTTGTAGATGAATTGTTGATTCTTTAGATAGTTTTTTTTATTTTGTTTTTTAAATATAAGATTTTAGTATTTTAGTATTTTATGAATTTTTTTTTTTGTAGCAGATTAAAATTTGTATTGATGATTCCAATTGACTTGATTGTCTAGTTCTTGAGTAGAATCTAACATATATATATATATATACAGTATATACAATATATACAATAATACTATACTAAGTAAAAAAAAAGGACCTTTAGTATAACTAGTAAAGTCAATTGATAAACAAGAAGTTGAATTACATTTTTTAAAAAAAAATTATTTAAATAACTATGATATCAACAAAAGAACAAAGGCATGGGAAGGACGGGAACCCTCGGAGTATCACCATAGAGGGACTTTTCTTTCTTTTTATTTTTTTATTTTTTTTTACAGAAACTGACTAAAATTGATTCTATATAAGATTGATGTAATCCGCTCATTTCATAAATTCTTCTCCATAAAAAAAATACCTTTTAAATATATATATTATATTTTTTTATATTTAAGTGGAGTGACTGGTTGCCTTTTTTTTTTTTTTTTTTTCTTCCTTTCTTCTTTCTCTTTCCATCTCTTTTATAAATCCTCCAAACCAATTGCAATCTTTATCACCAACTAACAAATCCTTTTCCCCTCTTCAAACTAACAAAAACCAACAATACAAAAAGAAAAACAAAAGGAAAAAAATGTCAATGCGCTATGTGAGTGATTTGATTTCAAATTCCAGTCCCAATTTCAATTCTAATTTCAATTCCAATTGACAACTTTCTAATACTTAAATTTCCCTTCTTAAGCTCTCTGCTTCTGTGGCCGCTGCTGTTGATAAAGAACTCATGTCAACACAAGCCTTTTCTCTAGACCAACTGGTAAGTTATATAATAATAATAATATTTCAAAAAAAAAAAAAAAAAAAAAGAAAAACCCCCCAAAAAATTATGGGCAATATCGACTTCCAATTCTCCAGACTATTATTAACTTTTGACATTAGATGGAACTTGCAGGACTCTCTGTAGCTGAGGCCGTTCTTAAAGTCCAGCCTCTAGAAAAGGGTTCCAAGGTTCTTGTTCTTGCTGGTCCTGGCAACAATGGTAAGTTTTATTCAATTCCATAAAATCTCTCTTTTTTTTTTTTTAACCATTTCTAATTCTAGGCGGTGACGGGTTGGTTGCTGCACGCCACTTGTCTCTTTGGGGATATTCACTCTCTTACTACTACCCTCGTAAATCGCGCCATGAACATCTTATTCGCTTAGAAACCCAGCTCAAAAACCTTGGAATCCCAGAAATTTCTACTGCCGCTGAAGTAGCTGCTGCACTTTCAGGACCTTCCAAGGTTAATCATGTTATCGATGCACTTTTCGGCTTTTCATTTAAACCTCCCATGCGCCCACCATTTGATGAGATTCTACGACTTCTCCAAGAATCACAAGATTCTGTACCTATAACTGCAGTCGACATTCCATCATCTTGGGATGTTGACCAGGGACCTCTTGAAGGTAACACATATGCACCTGAAGTGCTTGTATCTCTTACAGGACCTAAACCTGCTGCAAAGTTTTTCAAGGGAAGACACTTTGTGGGTGGCCGGTTTATTTCCAAGGACTTTGCAGCCAAATGGGATTTTGATATTCCACCATATATAGGTGGTGAACAAGTGGTGGAAGTAACTGAAAAGGAAAAGCTTTAAACTAAATAACTAAAAATAAGAAATATACTATGGATAACGGTGATATATATATATATATATAACACTTTCAAAAATCTATAGGTCTTGAAGATTCCTCATCAGGGCTTTTGGCATCATCGTCAACGTTATTCTTGGTTTGCTCTTTACGTTCAATATCACGTTTAGCCGTACCAAACCCAGAAACGCCGAGCTCCTGGTTCTCACCAAGCCATGGTTTATTAGCCTCAGTCTTTCTGCTCTTGGGCACCAAATGGTAAATAATAACACCAATAATAATGCAGACAAAGCCAACGGGATAGAGCCAAAAGACGTAGTAACCAAACACACGAATACCAATAATAAGAGACCAAAAGTCGGATGTGAGCAAAGACAGATTGTAAAAGGCACTAGACGACATGCGGAAAAGAATAGGAGCAGTACAGTAAAGAATCAACATGGACAAAGTATATCCAGTAAGGTAACCACCAATCTTGGGTTGCCAGTTGGCATTGCGCATGGAACCACGCTCAAAAATGGCGCATTGAACGCCAATAATAAATGTTCCAAAGAAACCGAGTTGGCCGACAACTTCGTAAACTGGAGCTTTGGAAACCAAAAACTCTTCAAGAACATTTGAAAGACCGTAACAAAAGGCAGAAAGAACAACAAATAAATCACCTTTAAGAGGATCGGAGGGAGCCCAGTTTTTGTCTGTAAGCAAGTCGGAAACAACAACAACGACGGAGCCACCAATACAGACAATAATACCAAGGCACTGCGCCCAATGATAGCGCACCTTGAGAAACAAAAATGAAAGAATCACAACAAAAACAATGGCAAGATTATCGAGTAGCGAAGCAGACAATAAGTTTGTATAGTTGTAGGCTTTGACAATAAAGTAGTTACCTTGGACATCAGCAAACGCAAGAATAAAGTACTTCCATCCACTACGGAACCAAATCTGTTTAAAGAGATGAAGGAAGCCATGCTTGTAGATGGTATAGGGGACAAAGATCAAAGCCAAAATAACATAGACAAACAAAGACTGGAACGCAGGGATATTGACGCCATTATTGGACATGAAGGTCGTGAGCGTATTTGTAGACACAATACAGAGAGACAGGATCTGACCATGGACAAAAATGATTGCAAACCGTTTGGAGAAAATAAATGGGAAATAGCTATTAAGCTTAAGACCTGTTTTCTTCCAAAACCCAATGGGCTGGTCTGTAGGGTAAATATCCAGTTGGTTGGTAGCAGCGGTGGCCGTGATGGTTGCAGAATCAACTTCTACAACAGTGTCACGATCATACGAGTCTTTAACGATATCCTGTTCTTCATAGATCTCTGTCTCGGGGACTTTGGAATCTACGGAACCGTAGAATGGGTCAACTGGTTTGATGGTGTCTGTATGATTAGACTTGGATGGTAGTGATGATGAAGACATTTTTGTTCAAGGGCTAAATTGGTAGCAGCAGTGCCTGTGGAATCTGGTATTATATTATTAATAAATAGTTGTAAAAACAAGATGATAGATAGGGAGGGGAAAAATAATAAATAATAAGCAAATAAAAACAGGAGTTCTATTGAAGACACGAGAGGAGAACCCTTAGAAGGCCAATCGTGATTTTTTTTCTTCTCTTTTAAAAAGATGGATTAATAGAGGATATTTGAGTGGGGGCTTGTTAAAGCTTTTAAGGATGATGATGATGGTAGAAGAAAAGAAAAGAAAAAAAAAAAAAATGGAGAGAGAAAATAAAATTTTTTTTTAATTTTTTTCTACTTTAAGATGCGGCTTAATATCACGTGACTCAAACTATATTTTATTTTTTATTATCATCTCCACATTTCTCTAAAGAAGACACAAATACACACACACACACTAAAAATGCTCATTAAAATCCCCACCCCCTCCCAAATTAAACCAACTTTTTAAGTTAATTTAATTTAAGTTAATAACAATTATCAACTATCCAATTTCAATGACTATCAGCTCATCCTGGAAATATAAACCAACAGCCATAAGAATCGAAATCTTCGATGGAAGTGTCTCTGTAGATGATGACCCAGAAGACTTCAACGGTACTCCATCTACCACTTTCTCCGCCTCAGCCCTCTTTCTCATCAATCAAGCCCTCCCAGAAGCATATATTGTGTCCGTATCTCCAAGACTCTCAGGTTTAGTATCCTCAGCAAAAGATGACATCTCCGTCCCCAAATACCGCCTACTAGCTGCTGTCTCTCCAGATACCTTCACTGACTCAACTATTAACTGGTACCCGGTAACTTTGCAAGGTGTTGAACCCCTTACAGACTTTAACTCTACTTTACGTCCATTTCTTACCACAGAATACGAACTCATTCCGAAAACTCTGGGGATCTCCATGTCACACTCAGAACCTCTCGCTGTCACCGTTCTTCAACCTTCCAAAGCTCTTTTAGATCGTATCACTATTGAATGGGGGCAAATAGACTTTTGCTCAGATCCTTCCCTTCTAGCCGCAAATCGCAAAATCCGTATCGAAAGTAGCCCATTTGTACTCGTCAACCCAGTGCTTTTTTCAAACTATTTATCTATTGGAACACTCTCATATCTGGCTACTCCAACCGCTACCAAACACTCTGCTGTAACTGCCATCTTTAGCGATGCCAGATACCTCGACGGCATGGACGGAGGACCTGTTTTCCAGGATGCTAGCAACACTTGTATTGGATTTGTAGCAGGTGCACTTCACAAAAAATCTGGCCAAGGTGATTTGTCAGTCATTGTACCATGGGACCAAGTCTACAAGGCCCTATCTACCATTGTACAGTACCCCCCAGATACAATCCAAGAGTCCCGTCAAGAACCATCCCCCCTAGATACCTTTACATGGCTAGCATTTCACGGTGTGCTACTACTGGAAGTCTACCGCGACCATTTGCGTCAATCCTGGGGGTCCGGGATTCTACTCGCTGACGATATACTCGTCACAAATAGCCACATGATTGAAAACGGGTACCGCAAAATCACAGCATGGATTTCAACTACGGAATCTGTCGAGCTTGAAGAACTAGGGAACCCACTCCCAGGAATTGACATTATCTTTTTCAAAGTCAAATGGGGAAATAAAATGAACCCTAAAACCCGAGTTGTCAAGCCTGCACAGCTGTGCACCGACCCAAAGGCATACACACCTGGCCGTAAAGTCTACTCTTTAGGTTATGGCCTCATATACCCACGCATGGCCACAGGTCTGCCTCTCCAACCGCTGAGATCTTTGGGAATCATTTCTAACATTGTATCCATGCCTCTGTTTACCACAGATTCAACTTCTACTCCTGTCATGCTTGTATCTTCGGCATGCTGCTGGAACGGGTCTTCAGGTGGTGCCGTGTTTGACGCGGAAACAGGACGTGTCATTTCGCTCATGACAAGCAATGGCCGTGTCAACGAAACAGGCCAAGTCATTCCACAAATGGCCTTCACCCTGCCTGCTCTTGTAGTGGCCCGTGGGCTTGCAATGCTCACAGAGAACCAAGTTATTGAAGTCAATCCCAAAGTAGAAACACTCTGGCAGCTCCGTGAGACCCACGAAAGTCTTATGGTAGAAGATAAGCCATTAAAGGCCAAACTATAGATAGTTAGTGTGATGAATTAGACAATATTAAAAGACGTTTCTCCCCTATATATATTAGTCGGGTTCATTCTCAGATAATCTCTTTCTGGCAATCATGCTGGAATTCAAATGATTGCAAAACACGGGGGTTGAGTTTTTGCTAACCCACCTGTTACGCAGAATTCCTTTGACCAGTCAACTTTGGCTTAGGGTCATCATTGAACTTATCGACTAACTAAAAAGTACTTTTTTTTTTTCTTTCTTTCCATACTTACTTTAAAGTCAATGAAGTTGTGATTTGTAAACGTAGAAATATTTTATTTTTATTTTTATTTTTTAAATAATTTATTATTTTTTTTTTTACAAACAAAAAAAGTTTGACATCACCACCAAGTCTGCCTTTTTTTTTGTGCTCCTCCTCCTCTTGAGAAAACCAACGCTCCACCACCAAAAATAAAATAAAATAAAAAAACTTGCACTACCTATCTATATACAACTTAAACCACCAAAACCCCTACCGCAATCACATACAACCATGAGCGCCAACGTTCATGTACCGACGCCACCGAAACGGGTGAAGGTGTATGAGCAGATTAAGGACGAGTGGACAGACAAAGGCACTGGGTATTGTTCGGGTGAAATCACGCCGGACTCCAACGAACCTTACATCATTGTGCGCAGTGAAGAAAACCGCCACGAAATCTTGCTCAAAGAGCATATACGCGGCGAGATCCAGTTCCAAAAACAACAGGATTCACTTATTGTCTGGAGCAACGGCTCCAACACGGAGCTGGCTCTCAGTTTTCAGGAAGCCGATGGATGTATGAAGATTCTTGATTTCCTTGTTTTTGTTCAAAAGACTTTGGCGCAACACATTTCAATCACCATTATCACAAACACCGACGACGGTGAGATCTCGGAGCTCATCGCTGGCCCTGTTTTTTTCCCCCCGGACCCATGTGTGGGTAATCTTGCTGATGTTCACACCGCGATTGTGCACCTCGTGTCCTTTCAATTCTCACGTGAGCCCCTCTGCGCGTTTCTCACAGGTACTGACTATCTCAAAAAACTTGCACTTGTTTTTGACCAGGCTGAAGCAGCACGTAACCTCGATGAGCTTCACAAGCTTTGCTATATCATCAAGCTCTTGTTTGGCCTCAACGACTGCAAAATTGTTGAGCGTCTTATTGAAGATGGGGTTGTGATCGGTACCATTGGCGCTCTTGAGTACGACCCTGCGTTCCCTATATATAAGGCAAACCATCGCCAGTACTTTGACCCAAAGGAGATTTTCCGTGAAGTTATCCCCATCAATGATCCAGATGTGCGTATCAAAATCAAGCAAACTTATCGCTTGCATTTCCTTAAAGACGTGCTGGCGCGCCTATTTGAGGAATCCACAATCTCAATGATCACCTCTATGATTTACTTTAACCAAATGTCCGTTGTAATTGCCCTACAAAATAGTGACTACTTTCAACGACTCTTTGAAATCTACCAAGGCCCTTCATCCAAATCCAAGGTTGAACAGCGCCGTGAGGGTGTTCGTTTTATCCACAGCATGTTTTTTGTCACCAAGGGATTCCAGCCCCACCAAAAAAAACTTACCTTTAGTATTCTAGTCGAAAAGGGTATGTTTCCACAAATTGAGTTTGCCGTAGCAGATTCGGATCGGTCCATACGAATGCTTGGGACTGAACTGCTAACTGCTATGATTGAACTCGACCCAATACTGCTACGGTCCTACGCCAAGTCACAGACGGAAAATAATACCAATCCAGATAACCAATTCACGTTAATGGATACCCTGGTGGACCAATTCATCAACGACTCCGATATAGGCCTCAAATTCCAAACTCTCGAGTGTCTCAAATGTATGCTCGACAATCCTTTATGCAACCCTGCTATATTGGGTAGTTACGATGACAACTTTTTAACTCGCAGAATACCGGAAAATACAACTAACCTCTTGATAACCAAATTTTATGAACGATGCGGCAAAAAGATTTTTTCAGTATTAAAGGCTAGAGCAATAGACCAAAATGCTACAACTAAAACAACCACCACTGCTACCAATGGGCTGGCCCCGCCGGCGCAGCGGACACTCTATGAACATGTGTGCGACTTGGTTTCGTTTTGCATCCGGATGCACGGCGATAAATGTTGGGTCTGCAGTGTTGAAGAAGGTGCGTGGCCTGGGATTGCTGCGCTAATCCGAGGACATGGTTCACACACGGTACAGATCGCCGCTCTGCGGACGCTGCGACAAACTTTGGCTGTTAAATACCAGGCATATGGCCCCGAGTTGATTCGGAGTGGGTGCATCGACGCAATCATTGATGTGTTATTAAAAATGGGTAATAGAAACAACCTGGTTAATAGTGTTTGCTTGGAGCTATTAAACACAATTAAAAATTTGGATATATATCTGAATGCTCCGCAGATTTCTTTTGACCCTAACAGTGTAGGTGCATACCTGGTAAAAACGCGAAGAAACGATCTACGTGAGAAACTGGCGTTTGCTGGAACGGCACAGCAATTAGTAGAGACGGTCGATGTGTTGGAAGAGGCAGCAATAGCAGCTGCAAATGGATCGGTACCCGAAGAAGTCGCAGAAGCGGCAGCAGCTGCTACGGAGATTGCAGCAAGAGAAGCAACAGTAGCTGCAGCAATAGTAGCAGCAGCAGCAATGGAAGAAGCAGCTGCAGTAAAAGCGATGGAAAATGCGGCATCAGCAGCGGCGGCGGCGGCATCTGCAGCAGCAGCAGCAATAACGACCACGGCACCAACTATAGTGATAGCTTCACCAAGTCCCACAAGTCCCACAAGCCCAACCCCACCGGTATCTGTTTCGTCGAGTGACTACTGTAGTGAAAACAATATATTTACAACGGCAGAGGCGATTGCTTCTGCAGCTGCGACTGCAGTTGCGTCAGGAACTGGGGAACAGCCGCCACGGTTCCAACCGGGGCAAAACTTAGGTACCCAGCATCCGGAATACTTTGCTATAGCAGCAACAGGCGAGTTTAAGCCCAGTCTTGTTCCTTACGGAGATGATGACGAAGATGAAGATGAAGATGAAGAGGATGATGAAGATGAAGAAAATGAAGAGGAGACTGAAGAACAAGAAGAACAAACTCCACGGGTAATTCATAATAGTGAGCAATTTGGGTCCCGATCCAAGGTACAAAAGTCTCCACTCAAGAGAAAAGAATGCGACACACCACCTGAGCCTCGGAAAACAATCCAAGAGGACGAGCCTAGTATAGAGTGTAGTTTGTGAATAATAATACCTTTTTTTTTAAAAAAAAATTGAACAAAAATATGAATTTCTTTTTATTTAACTAAACAATCCTAAATTTTGTTTTTTCCACCATTCAAGTTTGACAAGACTTGCGGGTAAGAGTTGATAGCAGCAAAGTTTCCCATGCGCCATTGCGAAGCATCAACAACAAGGGTTGTTCCAGAAATATACTTTGCGGCATCAGAAAGCAAAAATACTGTGCCTTCTGCAATATCCTGGGGTTTGCCCATGGCTCCTAAAGGAATCTTGGACACCATTTCTTTAAGCTCTTCTTTGGGGACCAAACGATCCATGCCTTCAGTACCTTCAATAGCGCCTGGGCAAATGGTATTAGACCGGATCCCAAGAGGTCCCAGCTCGATTGCCATGTTATTTGAAAGAGCGTCGACGCCAGCTTTGGCCGCACAGGCATGTGATTGCATTGGAGTTCCAGCATAGTGAAGTCCTGCTGAAATAAAGAGATACACGCCCTTGGTCTTTCGGACGGCTTCAAAAGTGGCTTTAGCGGTATTATAGGAGCCAACCAAATCAATGTCGACTACAGTTTTAAATGCGTTTGTTGAAAGACCAGCAAATGGTGCCAGGAAATTCCCAGCAGCACCGGCAATGACAAAATCGATACGGCCGAGTTCACGCAAAGTACGTTCGACAGCCTTTTTAAGCAAACTCACATCACGTACATCAACACCACCAATACCCAGGACTTTTGCACCAGGACGAAGCTGTGCAATTTCTTGAGCTGCCTTTTCGGTGACTTCGACTCTGCGACCTATGATGGCGATATCGGCGCCTAGAAGAACAAGGGCCTGGGACTGGACACGGCCAATGGTGCCTGCACCACCAGTAATGAATGCGACTTTGCCTTTGAAAATGTCTTTTTTCCAGACAGAGGTATCAAGAAAGGATTTATCAAGAGAAGTCATTATTATTAAGATTTAAATGAATGAAAGAAGAAGAAGAAGAAGAAAAAAAAAAGGATTTTTTGTTGTTGGCGGTGGGGAGAGGAGTTTTATATAGACAGACTTTAACTAAGTTATTGCGGGGGAGGACGGGCATCTGTGAGCCTCAGCAGATACCCTCTTGGAGATTAAAGCCGAGGTTTAAAGTCACATTAAAGTCATATGATACCAACGTGACAAGCACGTGATTTATAGCCACTTTGTTGTTTATTTTGATTTTTCACGGCCCTTCCATCTTCTTTACTTTTATTTTCCTGTCAACACCAATCTTGGAGGTTCTCCTTACAATTATACTCAACAAATACCAATGGGAAATCCAAGTCCCAAGTACTCCAAGCCCGGCCAGGTCCTTGTGAAGGTGAGTCTTATATATTCTATCAGTTGGTATTTACTAACATTTTCAGATCAATGGCTCGTGGATTTCAAATGCACACACTCTTTTTGCGTCGTGTAAGTTTCCAAAAAAAAAAAAAAAACAGCCTTGGAATCCCTAACAACTAACAAGATCATTAGTGGCTTTCATTGGTGCCTTGATCACCGGCATAGCCCTTCATTATAAAAAAATCGTTCAGAATGAACATTATGGATTTCCTGATGAATGGTATGTTTTTTTTTTTTTTTTTTTTTTTCATTTTGCGCAATTTCCTATTTCTAACCATAGCCCTTAGGTTCCCTTCAGTTTCTGCAACCATTGGTGACAGATATCCCGAGCGTTCTGTTTTTATGATCTTCATTGCTATCACATCCGGTCCTCGATTCCTTCTTGTTGGCTTATTTTATCTTCTCGCTGCTAAGCCTAACTCGATTCGACCAAAAGTCCTTCTGGTGACTGGTCTCCTTCGCACAATTTCTTGCGGTGGATGGACCTATGTGACCTCAACCGACGACCACGACTGGCATGATATTTTCATGATCACCTATCTTGTTTTGACTCTTCCCTGGACTATCATTGGCATCAGTTTGACCCACTCTGATTCAAAGTCGCTTTTTTACCGCAAGGTTTTTGCTTCTTGCTTCTTTGGAACCTTGGTCCCCCTGATTTACTTTTTCATCCAGCACAAGGTCCACAAGATTGCAGGCGCATACACAATTTACGCCTTTTTTGAATGGTCTTTGTGTATCTTTGATGTGGCTTTTGATGCTGCCACTTTTTACGATTTCCAGGCTCTCGAACTTAGAATTGTTGACGTCAAGGGTGTTACTGATGCTACCCAGTACGCTGCCCCTACTAAGGCCAACCCTGCTCTCAAGAAGTTCCAGGGCATTAGCTTTTTCAGCTTCTTGGTTGGAGTCATCAATTCTTTTATTTTCTGGTCCGTTTTGACTTCCCTTCCTCTTCTCATTTGGTACTTCCCTCTTTGGTACATGGGAATTAGCGGCTACGAGGCTTTCCTTCTTTCCATTGTGGCCCCTGTTTTACTTTGTATCGGCCCGTTTTTGACTCTCTTTTCCACAGTCCCTCAATTGGCATACCTCGGAACTATAATTGGTGTTGCTTCTTTCTGGGCCCACAAACCAGAGCTTCGGCTTGAACTTGTTGGTATTGGTAGCGGCTTTGCCTTCATTGCTCTTGCAGTTCAATTTTGGAACATTTCATCCAAGCCTCTGCTTGGTCTTCACCGTGCAACCGCCTTTTCCATTGGTCTCTTGGCTAGTTCCATTGCAAAGTATGCCTTTTACACAAACAATCCCATCTGGCCCATCATGCACAAGGAAAACGGCGGTTGGAATGTTACTGGTATTGTTATTGGCGTGATTGGAGCAGTTTTGGTTACACGCCCCCAGATCCGACCCTCTCCTGCATCTACGGCTACTTCCAAGGAATCCGCTCTTGCGGCTGGCGCTGGTTTTGGTGGCTTGATTTTTGCACTTCACACTCTTCTTTCTGATTCCACGACCATTATGCTTTGGGGATGGGAAGGGTTCCCTGTGCGCGGACCTTTGGCCGTGCCACACGGACTCATCACTTTTGCCGTTATGGCGTTTGGAATTTACATTGGCATTACGAGACGCGCCTCTACAGGGTCATGGCCAGCTTACTTTTTGGGTTCGGCCGGCGCTTTTGTCATGTACACATGCCCTGGATGGATCGGATACATTGGCGGCATGATTTTGGCCGGATACTTGATGAGCATTGTGCCTGTCATTTTGGAATCTGCTGGCAGACACCATCCTGCTGCGTCGTTTGGGTTTGGTGCATTTGTGCTTGTGCTTTTGTACTTGGCGCATGTGTGGATTGTTGCATACGCCTTTGTCCCCGGTGGACCCTTGTTGCGGGAGCGCAGCGACATTGTTCTGATTCTGCAGCAGGTGGCCATTGGACTGGGTATCTTTTCTTATAGACGAATCAAGGTGTCTGCCAATACGGCCATCTCACAATCTGGATCGTCTGTGACTGCTGCTCTCACGAGCATTGCTTCACAGGCTTTCAAGACATTGACTGTTTTGCTTGCGATTAGCGCTGCCATTACATTTAAGCGTTTCCACCGGGATGCCCCTAAGCCGTATCACCCTGAGGAAAAGCTTATGACTGCTGCAATCTGGACGGTTCATTTTGGTCTTGACAATGACATGTGGGCTAGTGAGGGCCGTATGCGGGATGTTATCAATGAGCTTGAGATTGACGTTATTGGGTTTTTGGAGTCGGACACTCAGCGCGCCATTATGGGACATCGCGATTTGACGCAGCAGATTGCTGAGGAGCTTGGGTACTACAGCGATTTTGGACCCGGTCCCAATAAGCACACCTGGGGTTGTGCGCTTTTGTCCAAGTTCCCCATTCTCAATTCAACGCATCACTTGCTGCCGTCTCCTGTGGGAGAGCTTGCACCTGCAATCCACGCGACATTGGATGTTTACGGACAGCCTGTTGATGTTGTTGTTTTCCACAGTGGTCAAGAAGAAGACCCTGAGGACCGACGTTTACAGAGTCTTGGTGTTGCGGACATTATGCATGGCAGCTCAAATCCTCTTGTGCTGCTTTCTTATCTCGTGACCAAGCCTCTGGAGGGCAACTACAACACGTATGTAAGCGAGCATTCTGGTATGCACGATGTGGATCCTTCAGACTGGGATCGCTGGTGCCAATACATTTTGTACAAGAACATCAAGCGCACCGGATATGCACGTGTGAGCCGGTCGACCATCACGGACACAGAAATCCAGGTGGGCAAGTTTGTTGTTGGGGAGCCGGAGAACACAAGCAACAAACAGATTCCGGAGTCGCAGGTGCCTGAGGGTCGGCGGTTCCCAGCGCTGTTCCGTGGGGATGGCGTGCGGGGACACCGGTACCATGTGTTTGACGAGCCCCGGTACTTTGAGTGAAGCAGCCAAGGAGGAAGAAGTGGAGGAGGAAAGGATGAAGCAAGCCAGCAATCTTGGCAGGCAATGACATAAGCATTACATAATTATATACGCCTTTATAAAAGAAAGTTTTTGCGCCCTTTAAAAGAATCTTATCTTCCCCAATTAAAACTCACACCACCACCAATTAAAAGGGGATTACAAAAAGTTCAAAAAAACCAACTACAATGAAAACAATTAGCGTCGCCTGCAAGACCGTATTGCTGGCGATGGTTGCGGGGTCCGCGGCAGCGGCGTCCGGGACTGGTGCGGCAGCCACCGGTCTGGAACAAACGGTGTTTTCCGCAGTGAAGGACAAGCTGAGCGGGCTTTTCTGGAGGGTAGGGCAGCAGCCATTAGAAGAGGAGGTAGAAGAGGAAGTTAAAGAAAAAGAGGGGTACGTTCCGGACTGGTCGCAATATGAAGACGAGACGGTGCTGCGGTTTAACTGGACTACGGCGCGTGAGCGTAAGGCCTTTGTCGACGCCACCAAGACGCTTGTTTTGGATGTGTGGCGCGTGGGCAAGCACTCTGGCGACGTGAGGTTGCACCAGGCACGAGTTCCCAACCTGTTGCGATTGCTGCCTAAGTCATTGCGGCGCGCGGAGTCCCGACGGGTCATGATTGCTGACCTTGAACACGCAGTTCACAGCACCCAGCCAGAGTCACGCGAGGTGGTTGACTTTTCGACCAAAAGTTCGATGGACATTCAAACAGTGTCTGAACTGTTTTTCAGTGACTTCCGGTCGCTAGAATCGATTTACCAATGGCTCGACATTCTTGAGGAAACTTTCCCGGAACAGGTGCGCACAGAGGTCATTGGCAAGACACACGAAGGTAGAGATATCCGAGTGTATCACTTGTACTCTTCGCAGCGCAATGTATCTGGGAAAAAGAAGACGATTGTTATTACAGGAGGAACCCATGCACGTGAGTGGGTTTCTGTTTCTACAGTTCTGTACTCACTTTATACTTTGCTTGTTCATCATGGGTCTCGCGGTAATGGTGCAGGAGGAGAGGATAATATTCTTGATAAGCTTGATTTCTTGATTGTGCCTGTGCTCAACCCAGACGGATACGTATACACATGGGAACATGACCGGTTGTGGCGCAAGAACCGCCAGGATACTGGTGTGCCTTTGTGTCGGGGAATTGACATTGACTCGTCATTCCCGTATCACTGGAAACCATCGATGGGTACGCCATGCAGCGAGGGCTACGCAGGGCAGGCTGCTTTGGAGGCCGAAGAGGCTCGCGCATTTACGAAATATATTAATGCGACTTCTGAACGTCACCAGTACTTCGGGTACCTTGACTGGCACTCATACTCGCAGACGATTCTGCACCCGTACGGATACTCGTGCAAGGAAACACCTCGGGACGCCGAGAACCTGCTTGAGCTTGCGTACGGTATGGCGCGAGCTATTCGGTGGTCATCTGGGAAGATGTACTCCGTACTGCCGTCGTGCGAGGATCGGGAGTATGATCCTGACGATAGCGAGGGTGGATGTGCGCTAGACTACATGTATAAGATGCATGCTATTTGGGCGCTGCAGATTAAGCTACGAGACACCGGGAACCATGGGTTTTTGTTGCCCAAGAAGTTTATTGTGCCGGTTGGGGAGGAGATTTTCAGTGCATTAAGGTACTTTTGTGATTTTATTTTGAATCCGGAGGATGAGTCTTATGGGTCGAATTAGGAGAAATGGATAACTAAAAAAATGGATCAAAAATAAAAAAAAAATAAAAAAAAAATATGTATAAACAAACTTCACATTGAAAAAACTTTCATTTTTTTTCATTTTTTTCATGCAATTTCTTTAGTTTCTGGAAGCTCGTAGTCCTCATTGGAGGCTTCTTTATTGGATTGACTTGACCATGGCTTTGCACAAGCCCAAGCAGTCAGGGCATAAAGAAGACCCACAATTATGAGGTTTATGGCGGATCTTAAGGTTTCTCTAAAGGCAAAGACTGAGTAATTAAGGACTTGTTTCCGGCTGAGAATGTCGAGGATCCAGAGGACTGTTGAAGGGACGTAAGCGCCGGTAGGAAGGAAATGTAAACGGGCGGTGCCATCTGCAGAGAGAAAAATGTTATTTCTGAGAACGAGAAGTTCATAAGAACAAGATCCGACGGCAATCAGAGCGGCCGACACGTAATGCTGGGAGGAGGAGGAGATGTTTGTTGGAGTGCGGAAGGCCACATAGGTGGCTATGACGATGATGGCCAAAATATGGTGGATAGCGGAGGAGTAAGTGGACCCTCGAATGGCCGCCATCTGCGGGTAAGGAGAGAACTGGAAAGTTGTTTTGGGAGTGATTGAGAGCATAGGCATTTTGAAATAGAAGGCAAAGGAGAGGAAAACATAGCTTGCAGCGGCCATAGCGGCAGCGGCACACCCGGTTTGGGTCCAGAAGCGGGAAGGCTGGGAGTTGAGGAGAGTTGAGGGGAGTTGAGGAGGAGTAGAAGAAGTGGTTGACGATGGGAGAGTTTTCCAAGCATAGAAAAGCAGGGCTAGCAGAACAAAATAGTCATCTGCAAGTCCCGGAATTCTGGGTACGACCACAACAAAGGCGACCAATGCAATTATTACGGCACGCAGCAAGTGTGCAGTTTTAGGCGCAAGAATGACGAGTGAAGCCACGGTGTCATCGGAAGGTAGTGGTGAGAGAATGAATGCAGGGAGGATGGACCAAAACAAGGTTTTTGTGACGAGAGGGTCTGCAGGAATCCATGAGGGAGATGCAGGGTTGGAAAGAGCAACAGTCAAAAGGGTTGGGAGTACTAATGCACGAGCCAGAACAAGGAGATAAGCTGAGTAGGAGTAGTTGTTCGAGGGAGAGGGAAGCGATCGGACGACGGAAAAGATATGAGCAGTCACCCAAGATGTAATGAGCAAACGCTCGACGATTTCACCGGCAAAGGAGTCTGGGTGGGAATTAAAGGCTGTGAGTGCACCGAGGAGAAGCAAAAGAGTTGTTGCACCTTTGGATTCAGTAAGAAGAGCAGTGTTAAGATTTTGATCAATTTGTTTACGGGAAACAATTGCGACAAACAAGGCGATTTGAAAGAGCAGACCATATTCGAGAGGCAAAAAAGCTCTAGGAAGATTTGCAATGTGGGATGTACGATCAGCCAAAAAGGCATAACCACAAGCGGCCGAGACAGTAGCAACCACGGAGCCTGTGAAAATAAGGGCTCGAGAGGTACTTGCAAAAGTCCAAGCCAGAACAATTGTCAGGAGCACTGATGTGAAGGTGGCAGCTACGAAGAATCTTGGAAAGACCGATTTCGAAGGAGGATATGGGACACAGCAGGTATGTGAGCCCTTGGGCAGAATATTTCTGCACATATGGTTCATAATGATATCTTTTTGAAGATAGATTGCACGGTTGACATAATGGAGGCCAATGCGATCGTAAATACCCAAGTGTGTCTCACCTCCGATTTCATTGAGCACAGGGACGTACGAGACCTTCCATTCTGGAGAGGCAACTGCTGGTCCAAAGCCATGCTGGTCGCGGGTGTAATTGAATGCCTCATCTGTATACTTGAGCATTTGCGAAATGTATTCTGGAGTAATGACATTAACGCGGGTCGGATCGAGCATTGCAAAGTTGGGAAGTAAGGTCGGAATGTAATAGACCTCGTCAAAGGAGTTTGGAACGCGTTCCTGGAGAACATTGATGAAATTATCAAGAGATCGTTTAAAACCTGGCATGACTTCATGACGGGGTTCAAACATTGCATGCCAGAGACCAGTAGTCACATAGAGGTAGGTTCTGGGTGTATAGTTTGGATCTGTATTGAGTTTCCTCGAGTCTGTGGTAGTTTCTGATTGAGCATACCCCACCTGAGCTTGGTGTTTGATTCTGCCCATGGCATCAGTACGGTTGAGGTACGGATCCCAGTAAAGTTTGAATGTGATACCGTCGATTATTGTTTGGTGGTTACCGTGGACATTATCATCTTGGAACAATTTCCTGTTTGCAGCATTGACAAATGCCCAATAGACCATGCGCGCAGTGGAATCACCTAGAAAGGCCATGATGTCACCGGGACGTAAACATGACTGGAGCGCAGCGAGATCCGGGAACTCTTTGAGGTGACAGCTTGGTGGGGCCCAATATTGTGGTGTTGGGTCACGAGTGTCAATGTATCTTCCCCGTCGCAGAATCCCATCACAGGAAGAAGAGGAAGAAGTCCTTTGGAGCCGTGCTGCCTGGTCTGATACGGCGAGTCTTGTTGGCTTGTGAAGAAAGGCAAAGACCAAAGGTAAGGTCAGGAGGGTTGCCAGAATGGCCAGTGGAGATGCCAAAAGTTTGCGGAGACGCATTTTCTAGAGAAGATGTCAATATTTATATATATATATATATATATATATATATATATAATATTTTATGATGTATGTATAAATATTGATGATGTGGTCAGAACAAAAAAAAAAAAAAAAAAAGAAACCAATGACCAAGTAAAAGTGAAAATAAAAGAAATTTCTTTAAATTTAATTAAGGAGGCTTAAAAATTTAAATCAACAATTTAAAATCATCCCCCTTAACGATAATAAAAATAAACTTGATTGATTAATATAATATAATATAATATAATATAATATAATATAATATAATATAATATAATATAATATAATATAATATAATCTAATTCAATTTAACTTAACTTAACTTAACTTAACTTAACTTAACTTAATTTAATTTAATTTAATTTAATTTAATTCTATGATCCTTTATTATTTTTATTTTTATTTTTATTTAAAGTTTTTATTATTCATTTCTTGGCTAGCGCAAGTTGACGCCAAGTAAGCTCACAATTTTTCTCCAAATTCCTCCTTTCCCACTTCCAGTTCTTCTTTCCTACCCTCAGGTACCTCAAACACTCCAGTATACGGTCCCGCAGCAACTAACGAAACAATCACACAAATTGTCCCGGCCAGAACCAAATTCGCTGCCGTCCGAAGACTCTCCCAAGGTATCGCAAAAAACCTACTCGACTCATATAAATCACCAACTCCAAATAACGTCCCTCGCAGCAGCGCAGGAACAACAGTCCCAACTGGAATAATCCGCAACTGTGTCGTCATGTTGCCAGCAAGTAACAAGTGCCGTCTCAATAGTAGCAGCTCGTATGAGAAGCTCGCCAGTCCCGTACACACACTTGAATACCTCAGCGTGGCAGACATCAGATTCGATGACGTATGCCTTTGCGCAACACGTACCCGGACTCCAGCGTAACCAGCAAACGTCGCCAGTGCTAAAATAACATGCACTGCCAGTGGGTACCGACTGGCCCTCATCTCTGCAATCACAGATGCTGGCTGTATTTCTGCTGAAGTCGATGGTGTGAAGGTTAGTTTCGGGTCCTCTATGCAAAAAACATGAAGAACAAACAACAGGTTCGCCACCACCGCCAACAACACTGGAGGAACTGCTGTCCAGATCCACTTTGGTACTTTCTTTTTGAGAGAATTCAATTTACTCTCTGTCTTCATGTGAACAAACCAACAAACTGCAATCGCAGCAAACGCATCCCAATAATCTCCCAATACAATCCGCGCAACTACTGAGTGTCTTGTGTGGACCTCTGGTTCCATCTCGTATGTCTGTGTTTGACCGTCGTCACCTACAACCGTTGCAATCACTTTCGTCACCACCGTTACGTGTGCGCGTCGCACTAATCCCCAATACGCAGACGCCCCCAAAAGAGCAAGCATTGCAGTCTGCGCAAGTACTCCCTGCCGGCGAACTAGTGACACCCGACTCACCGCTACAACAGCTGCAGTCAGCGAGTACCAAAATACCGACGAAATGGCAAGTGGATACAGTTTTGGGTCAATGATATACCCCAAGTACGACGGCATTGAGTCTTCGCTAACAGGAACAGGCCATGGGCCTAAAGCCATAGACAAAACTACCGGCAAAAGCGCCGCACGTGCCACGCGGCTGGCATAATAACGTAACGCAGCCTTTGCTGGCAGTTCACTAACAATTCCACCCAACTCAACTAGTGAGGCAAACAGCCAGCACGAGTACAGCAACCGGCAAGCCACGGCACCCTCCGAGTGTGACCGGCGAATATCTGCTCCAGCAACATTAAAAATCACTAGCAGCGCGGTGGCCAGGCCCTTCAACTCTTTAAGCAGGATTTTCCAGTGACTTGAATGTGTTGGAGACTCTGTCATAGAGATAAAAACGGCGCCAGCAAATAAATGCAAAAGAATAACCAATAGGGGCATAGAAAAGACCCGCGGAGATTTTGCAAAACGGCCGGTGCGGTCCGCGTAATAAGCCAAGCAAGCAACACAAATAGCCGTTCCAACGGCTACACTTGCACGCGGGTACTTGTATACCCGAAGTAGCAAGGTGACAAGTCCTCCCAAAAATAATACTTTAAATGGAGGCCATACAGAAGGCTCGCGTGGATATGGTGTGCAACAGGTTGTTCCGTCTGTGACGGCCCTGTTTGGATTCTGCTCGCTGACGCGTCCATTACACATGTGGTTCAAGAGCAAATTCTTTTGCAAAAATGGTGCACTTGTTGAGTAGTGCAGTCCAATCATGTCGTAGAGCCCAAGATGCGAGCTCCCGCCAATCTCGTTGAATACCGGGACATAATGAATTGATACTTCAATATCACCATCGACAGGAGAAGCCCGCTTAGCTCGCTTGTATGTTGCCCCAGCCCCAGCTCCCATGTAAGCCCTCGGGCCCTTTGCATAACCTTTACCCGACCAGGAACGATCATACCCAAACACTTCATCTGAGTACTGTAACATGCGCCGAATAACTCCTGGTGTGATTTGATCAATTCGAGAAGGATCAAGCAATGGGAAATAAGTAACCATGGTGGGGCCAAAATATACAGCCTCGAAGGCATCATCGGCACGCGTCTTCATTACATTGACAAACTCATCTAAAGAAGCCTTGAACCCTTCAAACACATGCTCCTCCCCGGAATCAAACATGGCGTGCCACAGTCCTGTGGTAGCGTACATGTAGGTTTTAGGCACGTAGTTTGGGTCCTTGTTAAATTCAATCAAAATGTCATTAACAGGTGCATCGCGGCCCAACTGTGCAATGTCACGCACGTGCTGCGATGACTCTGAGTTGTTGAGAAACGGGTCCCAAAAGAGTCTTACAGTGATGCCATCGCGTGTCCAGAAGTGATTACCATGAATGTTTCCGTCAGACCACACATGTTTGTCGAGTGTACTAACCATGGCCCAGTATAGTTGGCGAGCAGTCGAGTCTCCGTAGAAAATCACTTGGTCTCCGGGTCGCAGGCACGTTTGTAGTGCTGTCAGGTCCGCATAGTCACGCATTACGCAACCCTCGGGGGCCCACACGGTGGGACTGGCGGTTGTGTAGCCGTCGTCGAGGAATCTACCTGAGCGCAAGATCGAGTCGCATCGGAACGGGTTGCGGGTGTCGAATGGGCTTGTAAGGTTTGCGGTGGAGGATTTCATAAAGTAAAAGGCCGAGGAGACAAGCGGACCAACACCAAGAAGAAGTACGAGCAAAACGTAGGCCGCTGCAGCTAGGAGTACCACCGAGCCCAGGAGAACTGACCGCGGACTGTGGCAGTGCGCAATTGCAAAGACACGTCTGCGCAGCACTCGCAACAAGTGGAGCATTTTGTGGAGCAAATTATCGATAGGGTTGTGTAGGTAGTAATTAATAAATTAAGTTGTTGATTTTCTAAAAGGAGGGGAGGGTTGGTGGAAGGTTCAAAGTGGTTAAGTAATGTGGCATGCAAGTTACTTTAATAATTGCGTGCGTGTTGTCAAAAATTCTCTCGAGGAAATAAAGAAAAAAAAAACTAAAAATAAAAACAAACAAAAGTTAGTTACTGAGGGGTAAATTTAAGGTTACAGTAAAATTACCAGGTAAATTAAAATAAGTTTCTTAAGTTACCAATTATTTTCTTACCTGGTATGAATATTAACTTACTTTGTAACTTTAATTCTCCTCTTTTATTTTTATTTTTATTTTTATTTTTATTTTTATTTTTTTTCCAAATTTTAAAAATACCTCGCGTATATAAAAAAAAAAAAAAAAAATTTAAAAAAATTTAAAAAAATTAAAAAAATTAAAAAAAAATTAAAAATGCCTATAAAACCTCCAAAAACCTTCTCACCAAAATTAACAAAATTTTCCAAAATCACCGCTCGTTCTTCTTAAAAAAAAAACCCCTCAATGATCCGGATCGTCCTTAGGCCCTGCTCACAAAAACAGGCCTTTCTCCGGTCTCTTCGACCACAACTGGTCCGTAGACTCTCGACTTCACATCCAACTTTCATTAACAATAACGGCCATCCACCACTCCCGCCGCTCGTACCACCTCATGCTCATCTGCTCCCACCAGACCCAACTGCGGCAGTTTCTCAAGACCTTTCTCAACAACATTCATCTAGTTTGGACAGAGATCTTTTTCTTAGAGAACAGGAACTTCATAAACTTCACTCAGAAACTTTACTCCCACCAATAGCTGATCCTTTTGATTTATCCATCCATAACCAACCACAACCAGATCCCTTTTCTGCTGCAGAAGCAGCCGCAACTGCAGCTGCCATCTCTTCATCGCCTATTCATCAACCCTTCACGCCATCGTATGAACCTGTCGATCATAACACTAAGCTCCTCGATGATTCCTATAACTATGACGCAATGCCCTTTGAGGAACTGCTTGAGCAGTTTGAACAAGAACCATCACCATTCCAAGAAACCCATTCTTCATCTTCGCTAGGCCATACCATCGTTATTCAACAGCAGCCCGCACAAGAACATTCGTCTCCATGCCTTACCCCGAACCGCCTTTTTAACCATTCATGTGGCCTCGAGTTATCTTATGCCATTGGCGGCTACGCCTACCACACATCCAAAAACCCCTCTCGCAAAACCCTCATGGAATCTCTCCCAGATTACCTACTTTCCCCGCTCACAGGCAATTACGCTCTCCTCGATAATAAAACCCCCATCTCACTGGGCCGCGGAGATCACTCATGTCCAGAGTCTGAACTCCAGCATCTCGCTTCTATCAACGATGTCCCCGTCGAGGCTTACGACAAGGTTGAGGTCGCCGGCGTTACCTCTCTGGGCTGCGGCGAAGACTCTGTAGTTGGTTCCTCTCAGATCTTGGCCCTCGCTGACGGTGTTTCTGGCTGGAACCTCAAAACCGGAGGCCATGCTGCCCTTTGGTCCCGCCTGATTCTTCACAAAACTCTCACCCATTTTGTCCAGCTATTCAACTCTACAGCCCCAGATTTGCTGGCCGAAAAAGGTGCCGCCCCGACCCCGGGCTCTAAGCTTCAGTCCTCTAATGAGCTCCACGTGTCCAAGGCTCTTAACCAGGCTTTTTACGAAACAAAAGACCTACTGGCTGCTCAGCAAGAGTCCGGATCTTCTACAATCATCCTTGCAGCAATGGATACTGTTGACAAGGAACTTCACATTGTCCATATTGGCGACTCGTGTATTTGGATCTTTAGAGATCGCCAGGTCCTCTACACTGTCGACCATGGCCTCAAAACTGGCTGCCCGAAACAGCTCGGAACAAACTCAAAAGCTCCTCCTTCAGAAATCGATGAGCCTACAACCCTCCGTGTTCAACCTGACGACATCATCCTAATGTGCTCAGACGGCCTCTCAGATAACCTGTTTATAGGAGAAATCACAGAAACCCTCTTTAAAGGCTTTGATCGTGGAGGCCTTCAGGCAGCCGCAGACGACCTTATTCATCTCGCCACCGACCGCTCGTTTGACAATTTTGCTGTTTGTCCCTACCAACTCAATGCTTCGCCTTTTTCTACAGGCGGTGGCAAAAGTGACGACATTTCAGTTCTCGTCGCTCAGGTCGTTCCTACAACCGTTTAGACATAATAATACTCAATTTATCTTGCATGGTGTTTTTTTTTATTTTATTTTAATTTTATTTATTTACATTTTTTGTTATTCTTCTTCAAATTTTATTTCTTTTTTTCAAATATATATACAGTCAATAAACTAGTTCATTTTCAAGATATTTTACTCCTGGTAAACTGCAGTCATGGCAGCACCAACTGGACCAGCCTGGCCAGTCCACTCGTCAAACTGAGCCACGCCCTGATACACCAACATGTCCCGGCCACCAATCGTCGCGTAGCCCTGCGCCTTGGCCTTCTCAGCCAACGGAGTCACCACGGGCATGTAAGCCACGTCCAAAAAGTACTTGCTACTAGAACCTCCCAATGCTGAATTGGCCCCTCCCGAGAGAATCCCGTCAACCAGCCGTGCCAGCTTCTCATCGAGCGGCGCACTCGCGGGGACACAACTCACAACAGCCTCCGCTCGCTTTCCACCATACTCTTCTTCACTAACAACAACCTTAACACCATACTCCGCGGGGAAAGCTGCTGCAACTTCTCGAGCACTAGCCTCCGTTCTGTTCACAAGGTAAATGGTCCCGTATCCAATTGCATGGAGCGCCTCAATGGCAGCACGCGAAGTCCCGCCAGCTCCAATCACAACACCAGCAACATCGCCAGACTTCTTGCCGCCGCTCAAGCCAATTGCTTCAAACGACTTGACAATTCCAATCCAGTCTGTATTGTCACCTTTAAACTTGCCATTTCCCAACGGGATAATTGTATTCACCGCTCCAATAGCCTTAGCGGCTGGGGTCAATTCACTCAAAAATGGCAGCACAGCAAGCTTAAGAGGGATCGTCACTGAAGCTCCGCCAAACTTGTCTCCAAGCTCACCAATCTTTGCAAACACCTCCTCAGCGCTCTCCGTAGCAAGATAAGAGTATTGGTGAGGTATGTTCAATGCCTTGTACAACGCATTATGGAGGGCAGGTGACCGTGATTGAGCCGCAGGTCCTCCACAAACAAAAAATTCCTTGGCAGGCAGCCCGCCAATCGCAGCAAGTGCACCGTTAATCTCCCGCACCGTCAGCTGTCCAGGTGCAGCTGCAATTGGGAAGCTCTCATGAGTCACAGGTGTCAAAACCTCGTTAAGCACCCTTGAAAGCTTGCCGGCCTCGCCCATGTTAATTGCAACAAATGGCTTGCGCGTGTGCACCGAACGGAACTGCTCAAGAGCAATATTGTCCTGAAGGTTCTTGGCTGTTCCAACAAACTTGATAACATCGCCAACAGTAAGCGCCCGCTGGTAGTAGTCCTCCCAAAGTGCACTCGTCCATCCGTGCTTGCCAGCAGTATCGTGGTGAGAAGCAATCACCTTACTGTATCCCTTGTCCTTGACCAAACTGTCAACAAATCCAACAGGCCAAGTCAATTCCAAGTCAACGTATTCAACTCCTAACTTGTAAGCCAAGCGAATCAGCTTTTCAGCCTCTTCCTCGCCATCGTCGGGGAACTTGCCACCTTGCGACTTGGTTCGCACGGTAAAAATAATGGGCAAGTCAGTATTCAGGCGAATAAATCCAACCTGCTCAGCAACATATTCCAAGCTCCAGTTCTTGAGTAAGTCAACGCGAAGCTCAACAGCACTTGATCCTTCAAGAGATTCCTTAAGTCCAGCAAAATCACGCACGTCACCAAAAGTCAAGCAAACAAATGCAGAACGGCCCTTGGGCACATCGGGCAAGCCACGGGTGCCTGTAATAGTCTTCAAGAACAAGTCAAGAGAGCGGTGCACGCTAGCACTCTCGCTAGAGTTGCTAAAGTTGGAAGCAAAGTAAAAGTAATTGGAGCACTCAAAGTACCACTGCTCGCGGCGCTTCCACACACTGAAAATGTCGCTTGTATAAGCTGGACGTGTCTTGTCAACCTCCAAGTACGAAACAATGTTCTCAATGTTGCGGTGAACGTGCAAAACAATACGTCCAGAAGCCATGTACTCCTTCAAAATTGTGCGGGCCTCAGGGGTCTCAACAATACCACCGCCACAAGCCGCAACCCAGCCGCGCGGGTGCTTCTCCAAAAACTCGCGCAAAACAGTAAGCTCCTCATTGCGGAAACCTTCCCAGCCAGATTCCTTGATAATTTCAGGAATTGACTTTTCAAGCTTAGCCTCGAGGTACTGATCCAAGTCAACAAACTTAAGTCCAAGTGAAGTCGCAACCCATTGTCCCATAAAGGTCTTGCCAGCACCGCGCATACCAACAACAACAATTGTCTTGTCCTCATTGGGTGTGCGACGGTGCTCTTGGGCCTGTGCAACAGTATCTTCATAAGCATCAAGACCAACCTTAAATACACGGTTCAAAATGTCCCACCAGCCGGGCCAAGTCTTTTCAACACATCTGCGCTCCTTGATCAATACAGGTTCAGGAAGTGCACTTGCCAACAAACTGAAACTCATCGCAACACGGTGGTCATCATATGTGCTAACACCGCCCTTGGGAACAGTAAGCTTATCAATTTCAACACCATCAATCTCAAGACCATCAGCATGCTCACGCGTGGTAACACCAAACTTGGCAAGCTCGTGGATCATGGCGTCAATTCGATTGCATTCCTTGACACGTTGGTTGGCAATACCGTAAATTCGGGTAGTCTTGTTTTCTCCGTCTTTAGCAACAGCAGCCAAAACAGCAGCAGTCAAAAAGGCATCAGTCATAGGCTCCATATCAATCATGGGGATGGACTTGAGGGTATTTACAGGAGGTCCTGTAACCGTAGTAGAAGTAGCAGTTTGAATAACCTCACAGCCCATGGGTCGTAAAACATCAACAGCAAAACGAGCATCACCTTGCAACGACGACGAGCCAATGTTGGGGACAGTAACGCTAGTACCGCTAATGGCAGCAAAGGCCAAGGGGTATGTGGCAGAACTAGCATCAGACTCAATCACGTATTCAGCTGGATTCTTGTAAGTGGCCTTGGGGATGTGGTAAACATGACCCTCACCCTTGGTCACCTTGACACCAAAAGTCTCCATCATGGCAATCGTCATGTCAATGTAGAGTTGGGAAATGGGCTTGCCGCCAACAAGCGAAAGAGTAACAGGATTTTCGGCATAAGGCGCGCACATTAAAATAGAAGAAACGTACTGCGAAGAAACTGTAGCCTTGAGCTCAATGAGACCTCCCTTAAAGCCCAGGCCAGCCTTGATTTTAAGAGGCAAAGACCCCGTTGACTCCTGGAACTCAACCTTGCTGCCATTCTCGCGCAATGAATCAACAAGAGGACCAATGGGTCTTTGCTTCATCCGAGCATTACCGGTGAGAACCACATGGTCAGCTTCAGAAGAAGGCTGCACAAGTGTAGCCACAGTGGTCAAGAAGCGCGAAGCGGTGCCGGCGTTGCCAAGGTAGATTTCAGAGCTGGGGGCCTTGAACTTACCGCCATTGCCCTCGACCACAAGAATCTCACCATGATTTTCCCAGTTGACCTTGGTGCCACCAAGAACTTGCACAGCATTGAGCATGTGCTCAGTGTCGTCAGAGTGTAAAAGATTGGAGATACGACACACACCCTCACCAAGCGAAGCAAGGACAAGAGCACGGTTAGAAATGGACTTGGAGCCAGGGGGTATAACACTGACGGATTCTGGGGCATTTTTAAAGGAGCCAACCAAGAAAGATTCAGAAAGAACGGTACGGATAACATCATCGGAAACCTTGGTAGCCTGTTTTTCAAGAGTCTTGCCGATGCGAGTAAGCATGACAATTTTCTTAACATTACCGTCATTCTTCTTGTCAACATTCATAATGTCAAGAAGCTGATCCACTGGAGTAGAAATGTTGCGGGAGCGGCGGCGGACAATGGCATCATTGGGAGTAATGGGGAGCTCGTAAGCAGCCAAACATTTGGACAAGCGAGCAACAGCACCGTCGGAAAGGTGACCCAAAAAGCGGGCAACCTCAGCCTCCAAGACCATACCGATGGAAACGCACTCGCCGTGCAAAATGTGAGGAGTGAGGATGGCTTCGTAGGCGTGGCCAATAGTGTGGCCAAAGTTGAGCAGATTTCGGAGACCGCCTTCACGCTCGTCCAAAGTAACGACCTCGGCTTTGATGGAAGCCGATCCGTAAACGATTTTACGCACAATCTCAATAATGGGCTCGAGATCAACGCGGCCATCTTTACGCTCTTTAATGTACTTTAAAAGAATCTCATTGTTGTTTTCAAGTTCGATGAACTTTTCCTCATCCCACATAGCGGCGGTTTTGATGACTTCGGCAAGACCATTAATGAATTCTCGTTCAGGAAGAGTCTCAAGGAAGGTCAGGTCCATGAAGATAAATTTTGGCTGCCAAAAAGCGCCAATAAGGTTTTTGCCGAGAGGAGTATCAACAGCAGTCTTGCCGCCAATTGACGAGTCAACCATGGCTAGAAGAGTTGTGGGGATCTGAACAAAGCGAACACCGCGCATAAAAGTGGCAGCAACATAACCGATCATGTCGCCAATGACACCCCCGCCAATCGCCAGAATGACGGTGTCACGGGTGCATCGCTCCTTGAGTAAGAAGTCTTCAATTTCAGCCTTGGTGGTGCGGTTTTTCGAAGACTCACCAGGAGGAATGATGTACTTAAGCAGGCGTGACGAAGAGTTGGAATCCTTGATGGCTTGCGCAAACTCTGCCTCGAGACGTTGAACATGGCCAAACTTAAAGATATTGTCGTCAGAAATGAGCACGTAGGTGGTGGATTTGAGCTCTTTCAGAACAGTCGACACAATATGGCTTGAAAAATGGTAGCCAATGTGGATGGACTCGGTGCCCAAGATGGAGATCTTGGTAATTTCAGAAGTCATTGTTGGTGGTGGTGAAAAAAAAAAAAAAAAGTGTGGTAAATAGGAAAGTAAAGAGTCATTAGTAAAAAAATTTTTTATTTTTATATTTTTTTTATTTTTCAATTAAAAATTAAAATTAACATCCAGGTTCGAACTGAGATTACATAAATACAAGACCCATGATGACAGCCGCAAGGCTAAGTCCAAAAATGGGAGCACTAACGGCGCCAGCGCCATTGCTGGAATTAAGACTCGGGCTAGACTTGGCCGGAGACATAGAGGGGATGGACGCAGATGCAGAGGCAGATGCCCAGGCTGACGCAGTAGCCCAGGCTGACGCAGTAGCCCAAGCAGACGCAGTTGCCCAGGCTGATGCAGTGGCTTCGGGAGCCACCTGTCCTGGTGGAACAGCAGATCCAGGAGGGACCATGGTATCGATCGAGGAAGGAACCATGGTTTCAGCTGACGAGAGCATGGAAGGGACAAATGGAGTAACTACAATGGTTTCAGTAGTACAAGGACCACTAGAGTGAGGACAAGAAACGGTAAAGGTGGTAATGGGTTCGGCAGTAGACACATAGAATGAAGAAGTGATTGTGCCCGGGAGAATAAAGGTGGTGTTAGGAAGAGAGTGGGTGTAAATGCTTGTAATTGCAGAGGGATGAGCACTGGCAATACTGTTGGGGTATGTTGTAAAGGTAGAGTTAATTACAGGGGTAGTTGAATAGGTAGAGTTAATTACAGGGACAGTTGAATAAGTAGAGTTGGACAAAGGTCTAGTAGTGGAAAGGTTCCAGTGAGAAGTGGAGATGGAGGTAGGCAAGGTGACAGAAGTGGTTGTAGTGCATGGAGTGTTGTAAGTGGCATTCAAGGCCGAGCTAGAAGTGACAGCTGGAGAAGAGTAAGAAGTAGTAGCTGGAGCAGAAACGGAGCACACAGTGTAAGTGAAAGTTTTGGTGATTGTTCTACCAGCAGTATAGATGCAACTTTCAGTTACATAAATAATCTTTCCATCGGTGCGGGTGATAAAAGTACCATTTAAAGAGGGGAATCTAGTAGCAATGGGCTGGGAAGTAATAGACTCAGTCAAGATGGCTTGAGTAGCAGACTGGGGAAAGTCAGTAGATAGTGAGGCCTGAGTCACATTGAGGGGTTGTGCAAAAGCTGAAACTGTGTTCATGGCTGGAGCCAACGTGAGAGTGGTATAAGCGTCACTGTAAGTACTGTTGACCAAGTAGATTGACGTCAAAGTGACCGGATCAACTTGAGTCATGTCAGTGGCAAAGATCTCCGGATTTATACTCAAGTAGATTCCGTCTGTTTGTGTAGCATTAGAGCTATCAACTAAAATAGGGGATGCGGTTTCCAATGAAAGAGAATACTGTTCTGGAGTGTTGTCAAAAGTTGCAGAGATTTCGGCAAGAGTTGAAAAAATCATTTCTGCCCAAACGGCAGAAGATGAAATCAAAACTAGTAGGTATCTCAGGTAGCTCAATTGCATTTTTTTTTCTTTTTTTTGAGGGGGGAATTTTTTCAGTTTTCAAAATGGACTTTTTTATTGATATTTATAGACGACCTGGATCGTCTGGGTATGTTTCTTTTAGTGAAACATCTCATCAAATCAACAAGCGGCCGAAAAAAAATTTTTTTTTTTAAAATATCAGGGGAGAATGAAAATAAATATAAAGCGGTCATGGTATTCATTTTGCGTCATCGTCTTGCAAGTCGGTTTATGCGGATGTTACAACTGGCGATTAATGCCAGTGTCCAGACCTGGAATTAAAAAAAAAAGAAAAAAAAAAGTGACAAATGTCTTTTGTAGAAAAGGATTTTTTTTTTAAAAGAAGTAATCTAATATTGATATAACAAGGGGTAAAAGAATATATGATTAAAAGAAATTGTTGAATTTGTTTTGTTTCTTTTAAAAAAAAAATCTAGACAATTTTTTTTTTTTTTTTCAAAATGAGGAGGTTTTGGTGGTTTTGACAGCTTCTCATAGGGTTTTCTGGAATGAAATTCCGGAAAACCCTAAAAACTCTTTGTCAGGTTTTATGTCATCACGCCTCTTTCCATTAAATTGAATGACTCTGCCACGGGGTAGAGTGTCGAGGCACCAAAAAAAAACATAAATTAAATAAAAAAAAAAAATTGGGCCGCGGTTGCAACTGTATTGAAGTACTGGGAATAAAAAGTTGGAAATAAAGGAGAAGGTTTTTTTTTTATTGTAAGATTACTGGTATTTATATTATTTTCAGGAGGGTACAAGGAGGTTGATTTGATAAGTGGGCAAGAATCAATCTTTAATTTATTTGATTGGAAGAAAGACCCAGACATAATTACCTACACATGAACAAAAACAACAAGTCTAGAGGGAATTTTTTTTTAAAAAAAATTAAAAAAAAATATATAATAAGAAAAAAAAGACCACTTTTACGAGAATGAAGAGATTAAAATGAATGAATTAAATGAATGAATTAATGAAAATTATAGATTGATTATTATTATTAAAAAAAAACAGTAACTTACTGGGTTCACGAGGCTGAAGCCCAGAATCGTGATACGTGGGTGGGTGTTTTTTTTTTATTTTTTATTCTAAAATATTTTAAGAAGATTATTTTATTTTATACTTATAATATATTCTCTTTTAATTAATTAACAATCCAAGTTATATTTTTTTTCTTAATATTGTAATTATTCTATAACAACGACGAAGACCGTGTTTAACGGTAGTGATTAATATTCTTTTATATATAATATTTATATTAATTAATATCTTATTTAATATTGATATACTTTATTTTCTCCCTTTTTTTTTCCCCTTCTTCACCCTTTCTTTTTCTTACCACTTTAAAAATTTCTGCCTTCTACTTAAACTTTCTACTTCTTTTTTTCTTTGCTTCTTGAATACCCCTCCCTAATGAGACTTCTTCCTGGCCGTCGCAAGAAAAATGCTGCAAATACATCAACTAATAAAACAAACCCAGTTATCGATAATTGCCAGCTGACACTTCAGGTGTCGGTCCTAGAGGTTTGTGAAAACAATAAACAAATCCACTGAATCATCTAACAAATTCTTTGCTTTAGGCTCAAAATCTCCTGACTTCCAAGAAAAATTGCAATCCTGTGAGTATTTTTTTTTTTTGATCTAAACTTATTTACTAACCTTTTTTTTTTTCTTCTTCATCTAGTACGCCGTTGTCCATCTAAACCGATTCTTTTATTCAACTCCTGCTCTTTCAAAAGTCACAAATCCCAAATGGCTCGCCGACTTTTACTCTCCACTTAAAGGTTTGCATTCTGCTCCCATTATAACCATTGTGGTTTGGACCAAGGACCGTTTTAAAAAAGTAAGCTATTATTTGAAAAAAAAAAGACGCATTGTAAACTTCTCTTTTGTACTAACCAAATTTAGGAATACATTGGGGAAGCTGAAATCTCTCTAAAGGATCTCTTCAAAAATAACGCCTTCAAAGTTGATGATCCAGAAAACAAAGTATGTTGGTTTTCATTGTTATTTTATCATTCCATTTTAACCATAATTTTTTTTTCTGCAGCCTTCTTGGTATGATTTAAGGTCAATGAAGTCAGATTCAAAGCCTCTCGTTGGCTCCATAGAGTTAAAGTTTGCTCTTTATCATGAACAGAATCTCATAAAGGGAGAGGCATTGGCAGACCAAGGATCTCTACAAACTAGCTGGCATAAGTTTCTTCAAGCAATTTATGAAGAAGCAAGCAAAGAGCCACCCAATTATGATGACGACTCGGATGACGCTAGTGTCGATTTTGAAGGCCAGGATTACGAGCATCTGGTAGACACCTTGACAATTTCTAATGACGATGGTTATAGCTGCAGTGATGCTTCTTCAATTGCTTCTTCAACTGCTTCTTCTGGCTCAGAATCCGATGTTGAAAGCGGGTTTGAATCTGACGAACAAGCTCCATCAATCTCATCAGTTCAGGATATCCAACCTCTTGGCCGACATGAATCTTCATTGCTTCCTAAAAGCCCTAAGCTCCTTCAAGTTCCTACTGCTGAATCTACAAAGAACCGTCATCGCCGTCACAGTTTATCTCGCCGTCGTAGATCTCGTGAAAATAAGGAAACTGTGCCACGTGGGTACTATGAATTTAACTCCCGCAGCCAGGTGGTTGGAATAACATACCTTGAAATCGTCAAGGCCACTGACTTGCCACCATTGGCTAATATGACGCATACTGGATTTGACATGGATCCATTTGTTGTTACATCCTTTGGGAAAAAGACTTTTCGCACTGCATGGCGACGTCATACACTCAATCCCATCTTTAACGAGTCGCTCATGTTTCCTGTCATGAACCATGAACGTGGGTTCTCAATAAACTTTACTATTATGGACAAGGACAGAATCACTCTGAATGACCACGTCGCCACCATTGACTTTCCAATTCAGAAGATCCTTGAAACAGCTCCACAACCTGACCCACACACCTTGCTTTACAATATTGAAGCATTGGGTGTGCAACAACCTCATGCACAATTTAGTACAACAAGTATCCCTGTAAGCCAACAATTGGATTCACAAGATACTGATATTACTGGATATAATTCGTCTGACTCCTCTGCAGCACGTGCCTCTGAGTCTTCCTTTTTAGACAGCGCCGATACTGGCTCTGTACCACCATCAGCTTCGAGTAATATTCCCAAAACTTCGGCAAGCTCTGTGTCACTCAATGTAATGGCTCCGCCTTCATCAATGGATTCCCAGCGCCGCAAGTCCCGTATTCGTCGCAGGGCTAAAAAAACCAATACCCTAATTGATGCACACATGTTTGATTTTGTTATTCCATTAATGCTTATGAAGACCAAATTTGAAGGCAAGCACAAACCAGAGCTACACATTCGCGCGAGATTTTTGCCTTATGCAGCATTGCGACAACAATTTTGGCGCGGACTCATTCGCCTTTTTGACACAGACCGCAGCAATTCCATGAACATTTTTGAAATTATGGAGTTGCTAGACCAAATGGGAGCCACTCTGTCGGAGAAAACTATTAAGTCATACTTTACACGTTTTCATAAACGGTTTAATGTTGATGAACTGACGATTGACGAATTGGTTATATGCTTGGAAGAACAGATTTTAAAAGATACTGTGGTCCAAAACCACTCAAGGGAGCAAGAAGATAAAGGCAATTCAAATAAATCAGCAGCCACTCTTCCCGTCATTAAAGAAGCTCCCTATGTCGTTGATGTTGACGGAATGCCTACCCCTGTAGACAAGACATATGAAGATCTAGCTGCATCAGACGTATCCGAAATTCTTAAAGAAATCTACGAAACCAAGATTGAAAATGATGTCGAAGAGCGTTTAATCCGAGTACTAGCCTGCCCATTTTGCGGACAACCACGGCTCAACAACAAAGCTGAGATTGATATTGTGACACACTTGGCCACATGCGCGTCTCAAGATTGGAGCCGCGACAACTTGATGGCCATGAACAAGTTTGTATCATCAAATCAAGCGCGTAAGCGATGGTATACCAAAATGGTTTTTAAGGTTACTTATGGTAACTACAAGCTTGGCGCTAACTCTGCCAACATTCTCGTGCAGGACCGTGAGACTGGCTTTATTCAGGAGGAAAAGATGAATGCATATGTAAGGTTGGGTATTCGTCTTTTGTACAAGGGTTTGCGATCATCTCGTATGGAGTCAAAGAGAATCCGAGGGATTCTGCGCAGGGCTAGTTTTAAGCAGGGACGCAAGTACGATGATCCGTCATCAGTACGCGCCATTGAGCCGTTCATTAAATTTCACGCGCTTGATCTTTCTGAAGTCCTTTTACCGCTTGACAAATTTAAAAGCTTCAACGAGTTTTTTTACCGCAAGCTAAAACCCGGTGCCCGAGTGCTAGACGGTCCAGACAATCCCTGCATTGCAGTTTCCCCAGCCGATTGTCGCTCAACATACTTTAACTCCATTTCGCGGGCCACTGAGATTTGGATTAAGGGCAAGGAGTTTTCCATTGAGCGGCTTTTTGGCGACGCGTATCCTGAATATGTTTCAAAGTATAATTCAGGGTCTCTGGCAATTTTCCGCTTAGCTCCACAAGACTATCATCGTTTCCATGTCCCTGTAAATGGAATACTGGGTGCGCCAAGAACTATTGAGGGTGAATACTATACCGTCAACCCCATGGCTATTCGCTCTGCTCTCGATGTTTTTGGCGAAAACGTGCGTGTCCTTGTGCCCATCCATTCCGATGAGTTTGGGCTTGTCATGGTTGTTTGCGTGGGCGCTATGATGGTTGGCTCCACAGTTATTACAGCTAAAGCTGGAGATCGTGTGGAACGCATGGAAGAGCTCGGTTACTTTCAGTTTGGAGGCTCAACTCTTGTTGTGTTATTTGAGCATGGGAAAATCAAGTTTGATCGGGATTTACTTGACAATTCTAGTCAGGCTTTGGAGACTCTTGTTAAGGTTGGTATGTCCATTGGTCATACGCCAAACGTTCCACAATTTGAGCGTCACGATGCTCACAAAACTCCCAATATTGTCATCGAGTAAATATTTCTCTTTTTTTTTTTTTCTTTTTTTTTTTTAATAGATTTGTTTTATTCTTTACACAACAGTAAAATAATATACTACATTTATTTCTACTATATTCTAAAACACTTTAAATCTTGCCATTGATATCGTTGTCAATCTCCTTGAAAATCTTCTTAAGAATTGAGAGACCATTCACAAGAGTGGGGTGAGGGATATTGAGAGGAGGAACAAGACGGATGGTGTTCTTGCCACAAGAAAGAAGCAAAAGACCCTTCTGATGAGCCTTGGAAATAACGTGTGAAGGATCAATAGTGAGCTGAAGACCCTGCATGAGACCAACACCACGACGGGAAGTAGCTAGGTTGGGGTAAGCCTCAATAATCTGGTCAAACTTCTGCTCAATGGTACGAGCACGGACAGCAACATTGTCCAAAAGAGACTTGGATGTCAGCTCCTTGAGAACTTCAATGGCAACGGCAGCAGCGAGAGGGTTGCCACCGTAAGTAGTGCCGTGATCACCGACCTTGATAATGTCGTTGACCTTAGAGTTGACGATAACAGCGCCAATGGGGAAACCGTTACCAAGAGCCTTAGCACAGGTAATGATATCGGGGTGGGCCTCAGGGCCGGCGTGAGAGTGGGCCCAAAGCTTACCAGTACGGGAAAGACCAGCCTGAATCTCATCAAAGATAAGAATGGCATCGACCTCGTCACAGCGCTTGCGGAGGGCAATTAAGAATTCGTGGTCGGCAACATTGATACCACCTTCACCTTGAATGGGTTCGACAATGACACCAGCAGTGTTCTCAGTGATGAGGGTTTCAAGACCAGCAATGTCGTTATAGTCACCGTAAGTAACATCGGGGACAAGGGGAGCAAAGGGACCCTGGTACTTTGGGTTGGGAGTCATGGAGAGAGCACCAAAGGAACGACCGTGGAAAGCACCCTTGAAGGAAACAAGACCAGTCTTCTTAGTGTTTTCACCACCCTTGCCAACAATCTTACCGTACTTGCGGGCAAACTTAAGAGCAGCTTCATTAGACTCGGTACCCGAGTTGGACAAGAAAACAGCGGTAGCATCCTTCATGCCTCCAGAGTTGATGGTAGCTTCAACAAGCTTTTCGGAAAGAATTGGAGCAGTCTTGTTGTAGTACATGTTAGAAGAATGCACAAGGGTCGAGGCTTGTTTCATAAGAGTATATGTGACGAGAGGAGGGCAATGGCCAAGAGAATTGACAGCAATACCAGCAGTCAGATCAATGTACTTCTTGCCATCTGTATCGTAAAGGAAAGAGCCCTCACCACGCTCCATAACGGTGTTAGGGCGGGAGTAAGTAGGGACTTGGTAGTGAGCGTACTTTTCGACAAAAGCAGTGGAAGTCTCAACAGATTTCTTCTTAGCGTATGTCTATCAATTATTGAATATTGAGAAGGGGAAAGAAAAGATATATAAAAAAATACCTTCTGGTGAAATGAGTAATAGAACCGACGCGACCAATTTTTTTTTTTTTTTTTTTTTTGGAGGTATTCGGTGATATATTTTACTCACCCCATATTTCCAGAGGTTATTTCCCCGTCCCATTTATTCCCCAGTTAATAAAAATTCAATTTAAATAAAAAAAGAAAGAAAGAAAAAAGAAAAAAGAAAAACTTACGCGAACCTGGGTTGAAACGGCCGAGGCAGCAGCACCATTACGAGCCCGGATGGACTTGAAAGCGGATGAGAGCATTTTTTTTTTTTTTTGGAGATGTTGAAGGATACAACGACTGGAAAGGTTGTTGTTGTTGGTTGAGATTGAAAATTTAACGCTCACAAAAAAAAAAAAATAAAAATTAAAAGGGATGGAACTGCTTGCCATTTTAAAACGATACTCGGAAAAAGACTTCTTTGAGTCACATGATAGAGTCATCTATTACATTACATTAATTTATTAATTTAAGTAACATATTGTTGTAACATTTATTTTTTTTATTTTTATTTTTATTTTTATTATTATTTTTATTTTTATTTTTTTTCGACCGCCAATAGGAGAAATTTTCAGTAGCCGCCAAATTTTTTTTATCTCAGAAATCATCACCACCACCACCACCACCACCACTATCAACATTTTCATACTCTCAAAATGCGCATCTCCAGAACCTTGCTCCACGAGGCTCATGAGGCCGCTAGTGTCTTTGTTGCACCACGGCTGCGTGATCGTCGTCTTGCTTCCGAAATCAAGGAAGCTGCTGCCTTTATTTCCGCCGAGCGCGTTCGCTACAATGAAGCCCTGACCCAATACAATGCTCAAGTCGAACAACAAAAGTCCACCGAAACCCCAGAGTCAACCGAGACTTCTACCATCACTCCCCCCGTGGCCACTGTCCCCTTAACAGGCAACGCGCTTTTTGCCACAATCCCTGCTCCTCTCGCCAACTTTTTCCGCAAGTACCCCCCTGCTCCATTCCGCCAGTACAGCAAGACACCAACATCTATCGATGATCCTACAGCAAACCCCTTTTTGGCCAACACCAACCCCATCACTGGTCGCATCCAGGATTCTGTCTACTCTCTGCGTCGCCAAAGTGATTTGTATAAGGCCGCATACCGCTACGGTATTGCACACTTGCTGCCGCCGCTGCAAAACGGCAAGACCTTTTACGAGGAGAAGTATGAAACAAAGGTCCCCGTCAGAGGTGCTTCTCGCTTCAAGCTGTCGATTGCCGAGCGCAAGGCACCTGCTAGAAAACAGGAAATGGCAGAGGCAATTGCCAAGGCCGACGAGGTCATTGCAAAGTCTCGTGGTGCCAAGTGGAGACGCAAATTGGAGCAGAAAAACAAGAAGCCCTTGCCATGGTTTTAAAAAAAAAAAAAAAAGCAATATATCATTCATTGTACATATTATTAGTGTTTATAAAATAAGAAAAAAAATAGTTTACATTGGCAAAACCTTGGTTCCACCCTTTGAAATCATGCGGAAAGACGCAGAGAGTTGTGAAATTCCAGCTTCAGCCGTGGATCCAGTATAGTAAAAGCCCGACATGACTACAAGGTAACTCAGCACTAAAATTGAGCCCTTGAAGTAGTTACTCTTACCTTCGGCGTAAATGTAGGAAAACACAAAGACGCAGAAAATAACCATCAGCAGATCCCATCGTGGGAAAATGAGAGTAAACATAAAATCAGTCAGGTCAGGGAAAAGTGGAGCTGAGAGGTATGTGTAAAGAATCAAAGCTGGAATCTGCAAAAGACAAACTTGAAGAACATAAGCCGAACCAATTTCCATTGACAATGCAATGTTACCATTCATGGCAAAGGAAATAGCGTTAAGGAATTCAGTCGTATTAGGAACAAGGGCAAAGATAGTTACACCAACAAACTTCTCGCTAATACTAACACTCTTCAAAACACCATCGACAGTGCCTACTAGAATTTCAGCAATAACAGCATAGAGTACAGTAGCACCCAATAAAATAACAGTCGACTTGGTACGCGACCAATTTGGTGCGTCGTGACCACCACCTTCAGTAACTTGAGCAACAACGGCTGCGCTAGGATCTTCATGGCCCTTATTGCCAGTCTCAACAGAAACTTTGGCTCCACGGTTGGAACGTACAGTGGCCGATGTGGCAGTATGTGCCACACTGGAACTTGTAGCTTCTGCTGAAGTAGTACCAGAGGTGTGAGGATCATGAGTCAATGGCAAAATAGACTGAGGAGCAGTGCCATGGGGGATGACCAGGGAATGGAGCTCAGAAGAAGTAGGAGTCTGCCAAATCATTGCAGCGTGGGTACGCAGCGTAAACCAAAGGCCAATAACATAGGAAATAAAGAGAAGAGAAGCGCAAATCGAACTAAAAGGTTTGATAATGTCTGAGTAAAGGGAGTCAGTGGTAATTTGGGCCTGGTAAAAATGGCAGCGTTGGCAGTCTTCTGAGGTATCTAAACTGAGAGCACTTACGTACTCTAATTCACAGTCTGTACAACGCAGTTCATAGGTGCCATAAATTTGATAAAAAATGGTGGGCGCAAATGCACCGATAATGGCAAAAAGAAGCATGGTACTACTGACACCGGCTGATTTAGGATTGTAACGCTGGGTTTTACGCTTGATAGCACCTGCACACATGGAAAGTCCTGGGAGCAACAAAATACCGCCAAAAATACTGCCAACGATACTTCCCTCGACAAGATCACCTTTACCCCGAGACAAAGCCACACAGTACAAAAATACTTCAACAACTGTGGAAAAAAAGGCATTGATGGTAGCACCCATACCCATGGATGATTGTGCTGAAATAGAAGCCACGGCCTGGCCGATAAAGTAGGCAAGTGGAACAATAGAAAGCATGGAAGTACCGAAAATGAAGGTGGGAGAAACAACAATACCACCAAATCCAAGAGATTCGAAAGTATAGTAGTCCACAATGACGAAGGCAACAAGTGCCATCAAATTGATAAAAAAGATATTAGTACCATCAATGGTGTACTTGTAGTATCGTGAACCCAAAGCACGGTAAGTGCACAACAAAATGGAAGATTCGTATTCAGTAGGAGGCAAATTCTTAAGAGTGCTGGAAGGTCTAAAGGAAAGAGCCAAAGGATGTCTGCGGAGATGATAAGAAAGTAGCATAGTAATTTTGCCCATGGGAATGGAAAATACACCGAGCCAGCAAATGAGAGAGACGAGAAGCAGAATAGGATAAAGAGTAAGGTAAAACCAAAAGAAAAACAGAACACGACCAAGACTCCAGTCGCCGCGACCAAAAAAGCGGAGCTTGCGTTGGAATTCATGAGTACTGACAGAAGATTCGCCGCTAGAGTCAGAGCGGGTTCTAGGAGAGGGTTCAGCTGCAGTCTCCGAGCCTTGGGGGTCTTCTTGCGATGCTGGTCTATTTGCCGATGGATCAAAAAACAATCGTCTGCTGTCAACTGTTTGCCATTCCTGATACTCTGAAATTGTGCGGCCCTCACCTTCATCTTCAAGCAAGTAGTTTTTATCTGAATTGAGCTGGACACAAATGCCAAAGGGGAAAACAAGATACTTGCCAATGTTAAAGAAGGTTCTGCTGTAAATTGTTGCACTGCGGCTCCAAAAGAAAAAAACACGTAAAAGAAACGCGCCAGTCCATGAAATTATAAGCAACAAAATGCCAAAGGTAACGGACCAGATAATGTTTCCAAGCCAAACTAGATAAGAAATATCCTTGTTGGGTCCCGAGTGAATTTCACCTTCAGCAAAACGCTGGACGGAACGAATTTTCTTGTATACAGCTGGTTTCCAAATACGGATACCAAACGGATGGGTAATATTAATTGCATCCTGACGCTCACGTAAAGTAAATGTCTCTGTGGAGCTAACACTGGCAGTATCTTCATTGTCTTCTTCATCATCTTCTTCTTCGTCTTCTTCATCGTGCTCCTCAAGATCCTCAACGAGGTCTTCTTCCAGTCTACGCATTGTCTTAACATCGTGACGGTCCTTGCTCTCGCCAATTTCATGCAGTAGAGTTCCAAACCGCGACTTGTGGGATGAGGCTCCAGTAGAAACTCCACTGTAACCACGTTCAAGCGGAGAAGAAAAATCCTCGCCATTGTTTTCAAGCTCGTCATTAACCTCGGGAATGGGTTCTGAGGAGATAGACGCCCTAGTTTGTTTCTGTTGCGCCGTGGTAGAAAGGGACGAAGAGGAAGCTGGCTGCGTTTGGTCTTCTACACTAGGTTCTGTTGTTTTGGTGAAGGACGACCCACTCACGGGAGAAGAAGCTGCAGCGGCAGAAGTGGACCCACGTTTTGATGTTGAAGGCGACCCCACGGTGCCAGGAACTACTGACCCTCCCTTCGAGCGTAGTCTACGGCCAACTTTGAGGCCCTTATGGACGTCAGCCAAGTCTGTTTTTCGCTCGCGCTCGTAATCAGCCTCAAGCTCGGCCTCGTCATCATCAGCTGAGAAAACAATAACACGCGAAGATTTGCGCTGCTCACTATGGTTTGAGCCATTGCGACGCATACGCACACCACCCGGATGAGATGTAGAAGGCACGAGGGCTGGCAAGTCTGCGGGACGAATCAGGGGGCTTGATGGGTTCATGGCCGGTGAAACGGGTCGAAGAGAGGGTGAAGCGCGCTGCTTGTGCGCAAGCTTCTTGTGAGCTGGTGCAGGAGGTAAAGAAGCTGCGAAGCTGCTATTTGCAACAGCATCTGTAGTATTCGATGGAGAAATTGCGGGACTTAACCCCCCAGCGGCAGAAGAAGTTTGGTCAGGGTTCAAAGGTACGGAGCTGGAAGTTGGGGAAGGTGGTTGGGCCTTGTGCTTCGAGTCGTTTGACTGAGCAGAATCATCTTTTGAGGATGACATTTCTAAAGATAGAGATATCTATGAAATGACTTTAAAAAAAAATTGTGGGATTTTAGCCAAAAATTTTGACGACGGTGATTTCTAAGGAAGGATAAAGGCTTGAGAGAAGAAAGAAAAACGGCAGTTTAAATTCAAAGTGTTTTTTTTGTCTGTTTGGTAGTTTGTTTGTTGAGCAGCCACGCGAGGCAGCCACAGACTAAAAATTTGGGGATATAAATACTTAAGACTTTGAAATTAATTAATATAACTTGTTTTTTATCACTTATCACTTATTACTTATTTTCTTGCCACCTTTTTTTATTTGTTTTTTAAAAACCTCCAAAATCTCATCCACAACGTATCGCGTTCATTAGCACCATGACCGGCCTAGTTTGTATGTCAGAATGTTTTAACCTGAATTCACATTGATCTCTCTAACTAATTTAGCCTTTTCCGACCTTGATGAATGCATTGAACGCCTTTACCGGCGCGAGCTTCTACCGGAGATGACTATTGAGGCGCTGTGCTCCAAAATCAAAGAGCTCTTCATTAAAGAGTCAAATGTCATCCATATATCTGCCCCTGTTACAGTTGTTGGAGATATTCACGGCCAGTTTTACGATCTTCTCGAGATTTTCCGTATTGGAGGCTACTGCCCTGACACAAACTATCTTTTCCTCGGTGACTATGTTGACCGGGGCCTTTTCTCTGTAGAAACAATCTCTTTGCTCGTTTGTCTCAAGCTGCGTTACCCCACCCGCATATACTTGGTTCGCGGAAATCACGAGTCTCGCGGCATCACTCATACTTACGGATTCTACTCAGAGTGTGTTCGCAAATACGGCTCGCCTGCAGTATGGACTCACTTCACTGACATGTTCGACTTCCTGACACTTTCAGTCGTTATTGACAACTCCATTTTCTGTGTCCACGGTGGTCTTTCGCCCACAATCCACTCCATTGATCAGATCAAGATTATTGACCGCTTCAAAGAAATCCCCCATGAAGGTCCTATGGCCGACTTGGTGTGGTCGGACCCCGATACAACCAAAACAGACTTCTCACTTTCCCCGCGCGGCGCTGGATACACTTTTGGCATTGATATTGTCAAAAAATTCCTGTCCCGCAACAATATGTCCCACATTCTACGTGCACACCAACTGTGTCAAGGCGGATACGAAGTAGTTTTTGACGACAGACTGTCTACGGTGTGGTCTGCTCCAAACTACTGCTACCGCTGCGGCAACCTCGCGTCGGTGCTCGAGGTCAGCTCTAATGGCGAGCGCTTTTTTAACGTCTTCAGTGCCGCCCCTGAAAATGACGTTTCCCTTAAACTACTTGAGAGTGAGCACGACGCAAATGATCCAGAAGTTGCGGCCGTACTGCAGCCACAACCCGTGGAATACTTCTTGTAGACGATGTTACGATTGATGATTAATGATGTTTTATTTTGTACCCTTTTTTTAATGAGTTGTTTGTAATTTTAATTTAGAATATAACTTATATATATATACAATCTATTAGTTCAAACCCTATATTACAATTACCATACTGGTTCTATTCAAAAGCTTGGAGAGCACTCTCTAATTTAATGCTCATCTCGTGCCATTCGTCCTCAGGATCACTAAGAATTGTAATGGCACCGCCAGCACCAATCCGCCAAACATTTTCGCCTTCGCCCTTGTACTGAAACGCGGAACGAATCACTACGCTCCAGTCGCCTTCATCCAAAACACTCCAGTATCCACTGACACCAGAGTAAATTCCACGAGGCATGCGATCTTCTAAGTCTCGCAAGATTTCCACAGACCGGATCTTGGGGGCTCCTGTCATTGATCCTGGAGGCAATGAGTGTATTAGTACGTCAAACCCAGAATATGCAGAATCGTCGCCTTTATCGGCTAGGTCACCACAAATCACTGAAACGAGTTGGTACACGGTCTTGTACTCTTCCACGCCCATAAGCTTTTCAACACGCACGGCGTCTAATAATGCATTTAAGTCGTGTCGAATCAAGTCAACAATCATCAAGTTTTCACCCCGCTCTTTGGGAGTGTTGAGAATAGCAGACGCTTTTTCATAAGTCATACTGTCAGACTTTTTAACGGTACCTTTAATAGGTCGAAACTCACAGCGGCCTGTGCGCGCAGACCAGCTCATGAATCTCTCAGGTGATGAGCCCACAAGAGTAGCACCAGGAAGATCCATTAGGCAAGAATATGGTGCAGGATTGCGTTTGTATAGTACCTTATACAAGTCCCATGGATGCACTGCTTTCGGGAGTGTAATGGTAGTTTGCCCAGTCATACACAGTTCATATGAATTGCCCGCACGAAGTTCTTCCTGTGCCTCCAAAATGCGATTGATATATTTTTCCTTATCAGGCATTTGGACACTTACTGTCTCTTGAGGACCAAAATATGCGGCGCACGTGTCTGGAATGTTTAGGGTTTCTTGAGTCAAAGCCACACGTATCAACTCCTCAGTTTCCTTAAACCATGGCGATTTGACGCCATCGCGTTCTTTGAGCGATAAAACGTAAGCCCGTTTTTCCGCCGAGTCAAGAAGGATCATCCGTTCAATATCTACCAAATTCACATCAGGGTATGGCCGATTGTCTCCCTTGACAATTGGCTCTAGGGTTGCACGGGATGGGTAAGATTCGAGGTCTTGGGGAGCCTCATATGAGAGGTAGCCAGTCAATCCGCCACAAAATGTAGCACCAGGAGGCGCCTTTCCAGGTATATTTTCGCAATTGTCATCCACGTTAATGGCATCCTTGTACTTTTGAACTTTGGGAGCCATGTAGTTTGACAGAAACCCCCAGATGCCAGTCTTGGTGTCGCTCAGCTTAATTTTTTGCTCAGAGCCATTCCATTTACTCAAAAAAACGTACTCAGGGAAGTACTCATTGTAGTGCTTGATACAAACAGTCTCATTATCTTCAAGCAGGCCAATGACACCCCATCGACCTGGAAATGCAGCAGAATTCAGTAAAGTGAAATCTTGGTTGTTCTTATGGAGAGCCTCGCCAATCAGCACTGCCGCATAGTCCATAGGAATAGAAGGTAAATCCAAACTTGTGTATGCAATATCGTAAAAATTATTCTGAACCTGATTAATTTCTTTCGGGAACGCCTGGGGCTTGATGCTGTACAAATTATTAAGCTCTTGATAGTCGTTTCCTGAGTCAGTACTTTTTGTGCGTCTGCCATTGGCCGCCGACCACTCTTTAGCTTGTTCCCAAAAGTTTTTAATAACAGTGTCGCCATGAGTCGAGCAGATAGATTCTGGATGATATTGAACGCCCCAGAAAGGTTTCTGAGTATGCTTTCCCGCCATCAAAACCTTGTAAGTGGTATGAGGGTCATCTGTCCATGCAAGTGGCTCTATGGTATTATCACAGTCGTCAGCCTGCAACAGTTTGCCATGCAACGAGTGGTAACGTACACTTTCAAAAGGTCCTTCAATTCCTGTGAAGATGTCATTCCCATCATGTTCAATCATGGCAACTTGGCCATGTTTGGGTTCCGGAAGACGCACCACATCACCACCAGCTGCCAAAACAAGACTCTGGAAACCAAGACACACTCCAAAAATAGGTAAAAGACCTGAGTCAACATCAGAAAGCTTCCACATGTAAGGAAGAACACCAGCATCGGCGGGGTTTGCTGGATGACCTGGTCCCGGTCCGATCACGACTGCATCAAAAAAGGGGAGGTATTTTGAGATAAGAATGTCAGGAGCAACAGAGTCATTATGAATTGTGACAACTTCAGCACCTGTGACTCTACGGATGAGAGCAGCGAGATTGAGGGTAAATGAGTCGTAAGAATCGATAAGAAGGATGCGGTTATTTGTCGACATTTTTGAAAGAAAGAGGCAAAGTCGAATGGCAAAGAAGAAATTTAAGGTGTGGAATAAGGCACGGAAGTTTAAATTAGGAGTAATTTGAGGAAAAAAAACGACTGGGCAGAGTACGCTTTTTGTCAATCTATCAAAGTCGTTTTTCAGCAAAGCACCGCAAGGAACTTTATCTCATCCAAATAAAAAAAAAAAAAAAGGAGATCAGTGAACCAAAGGTTTAAGTGCAGTTTAAAAAAGAAAAAAAAATTGACTGGTGGGTTCAGCTGGCTGACATGCTGGAATGAGAAATAAACTAAAATGGACATCCGGGCTTTTTGTCAGATTTCGGCTTTTCAAGGGCAAAAAAAAATTACAAAAAACAGAAGTGGTTGACAACAAGCGGAGAAACTTCTTGCGCCTAATGCAGTAATAAGCGAGATCACATGATTTATTGTAATTAAATATCATGTGATTTGTGACATTTTGTATTATTTTTCACCTCCACCTGCCACCACCAATAATTTTGAAACTCAATACTTATTTTTAAAAAATTTTACACATCACCACCACCACCAGCCAGCCAACCAGCCAGCCAACCAGCCAGCTAACCAGCCCAGTTATCCAACCACACAGATCACACAATGAAACCCTCTCAGATTAATTTCCTGCTCCGACCATGGAAAACCTACAAGGACGGCACTCTGTTCTACGGTACTACCAAGACTGGTTCTAAGAGACATCCTCTTACCACAAAGCAGGGCAACAAGAACTTCTACAAGGGTACGCGATCTTCCGGCATTGGTAACCACACAGCTACTGGTCGCTACACCATCTACTGGGACCGCGTCCGCACTTATGTCACTCCCGCTGGTCTTTCTAGCACTGATGTATGTTGAGTTTTTTATTGTTTTTATTCTAGTAAATTTTTGGACTAACATTCAATAGCTGAAACCTTTTGTCTGCGCTACTTCTCCTCTCACAAAAAACACCTATCAGGGTTACAAGCGTGCTGCTGTGGATGGCAAGCTATACCTTCAGAAGATTCAGGAGTACATTGAGTACGGTGAGTCCGAAAGTCCCGACTCGATGCGCGATCCTGAGACTGGTATTGAGAGAGGTTAAATAAAACTAAATGGAAAAAAAAATAAGAGGTATTAAAAACCACAACCAATCCTTTTGATTAATGAATAGAATGACTTTTTTTTAGTACGCATTCCGTTATCGACACGGGCCTTTTTATTGTATATATGACTTGTAAATAAATTAAAAAAAAAAAAAAAAACTTCAAATCAAATACCATTAAATTAAAATCCCTTATAAAAAACACCACTATAAAAAAACTTATTTTGAAGAATCATATGAAAAATGACTACCATTTTAAGAAAGAAGCCCCTCAAGACAGTGGACAATAGAAGCCACAGCAGAATCAAGAGTACCCAAAAGACCAAAAGTTTGGAGCTGAGTCTTGAGCCCGGCAATCTGGGACTTGAGCTGGCTAAGTTGGGCTGCAACATCAGGGTCAATACTATGGCCAGTAGCAAGCTTAGAAACAAGGTTGGCCACAAACGTGGACAAGGTCAAAACAAGAAATTGAAGGCCAGTACTAATAAAGGTAGACTGGAGCAAAGTGCCGAGACCTGAAGTAAGGCCAAAGCTCTTGAGGTCATTTTCAATTTGAAGTAAGTCCTTATTGACAATGACCAAAAGATTGGCAAAATCTTTAGACTCACTAGCCAGATCAAGACTGGGGAGATTACCGAGTGTAGCCAAAAGGAACTTGACAAGACTATCGATCAAATCAGCAACACCAGACACGCTTTCGCGTTTGATAATTACTGTAGAGCCAGTAATGTCATTGGAATCACCATTAGGTAAAGCAACAGCAACAGCAACAGCTTCTGGATTGCCAATAGGAGAGGCAGAGACAGAAAGAACCAAAGAGTTCAAGAGAGAAAGTTTGTTGATGGCGACCATTGTTAATTGAGTTGAGTTTGAATAAAATGTGTTTCTTGAAGAAAAAGTAGCTAATGAACTTTGAAAATGTAGAATATTGGATTAAAGAAAAGAAGGAATTTTCAAGGAAAATCGTTGTCTTTTTATATTTTTAAAAAAAGCTTGCAACCAGGGTCAATTGATTAGATTCATTCTTCTCAAGTAAACACAAGTGGGCATAATTTTTAAAATTTGTTAAATAAAAGAAACAAAATAGTTCTTTCATTTATGGACCTTTTATTTTGGTGATTCCAAGTAAATCAAAGATAACAAAAAAAAGCTGAATCTTCAACTTCTTTTTTTTTCATGTGCATTTTTTGAATATTCATTACTACAGAAGTTTAATCCACACTAGGTAATTTTCATTTATAGATCTTCCTTTAATACTTTTTTCCTTGCTCACTTTTCCCCACACAAGCAAACTTTACTTCGACGTCATTGAAAAAGTCCCAATCGTCCAATTGGTATCAAGTTCTTATTATCGATTAATGCTGGTTTCTATTTCCCTTCCTCTTTTTTATTTGTCTATATAGGACTAGGGTGGAGGCTAAATTGATGACGAAAAAAGTAAAAAATTCAGCCATTTAAGGATTTGGATTTATAATTTTTTTAAAGCGACATTTATCAATGAATCATAAAAGACCAATCAAGTGTTATTTTTCTTCGACAGACGTTATTGATCCTTAGTTCCGTACACATTTTCCTGTCTCCATTTCTTTTTTTGTCATTTATCTTGACGGTATGAATAATGTCGTATCCTCTCCACTTTTTTTTCATCATTTTTATTTTCCCTTTATAAGCTTTACAGATTATCAAGTTTCTTAGATACTCCACTTTTTTCCTGGTTAATTGAGATGAGAAAAAAAGGAGAGCAATAGGTTAATTTGTTTTGGAAAAAATAATGGCACTTCAAGACATGATTTGAAAAACCCTTAAAAAGGAGGTAGACGTTCCATCTAAATGACAGTATTGCTTTGAGGGTATAATTGATTGCCGTTTGTTTACGGGTCATTAAAAAAGATTTTCTTTTTCAAGCGATAAATACGCAAACTTTGATTATGTTAAAGTTGAACATTTCATCATACTTTAATAGAATCCGCCAAATAAACATGATTCATTAAATTCGTTCTCTTTTATTTTTACCTTTAATTTTTTGTTATCGTTATCGTTTCTAGTGAAACAATCTTCTTTTAAGGTCCTAGTTTACCCAGTTAAGTTCTTCAATTTGTGCCCACTAAGCCTTCTGAAACAAAATACGTCCCAAATAGGAAGTCCATTTCAATTCTCGGTAATCTGTTTAAAAAAAAATTCTTAATTTATACTTTTCTTCTTTCGTTTATTTTGTTACTGTTTTAAATAAATGCGTTAATTCATTCATACTTTCTACATATCTTTTTTCTCTTACATATAGATAAATCATCAAATAATAGTAATAAATTTCCAACTGTCTTCTTTGTTTTTTTATTGGTGTTTTTAATATTCTGATCCTTCACATGCTTTCTATTTTTTTTCTTTAATATTTTTTTTCCCTAGTTTAATGTAAATAAAAACTCGAGTTGCTATAAAGGCAATCGGTTGTTGGTATCAATGTTGGTTCATGGGTTCTTGCGTGAAACGGCATTACATCTCTATCAGTATCAATATCAGTACCAATAACATCGTCAGATTGGATAATTAGTTTTTCGTGGTATGTTTCCGCGCAAGGGAAAATGTCAAGGTGGTATAAATTGTAGTCATCGTTAGGAGATGGGGTTGGAGATGGTGAAGGTTGCGAATATTGTTGGTGAAGTTTTGGCATTGTTTCTAAGTCAAACAAGTTACTTGAATACATGCTTTTAAAGACTGGCAAGTCTCTCTCCACTTTTTCAAATTCAATAAATTGTTGGCTTGAAGTAACAGAACTGGAAAAGGCGTCAATCTGTATCTCAAGATTGGCAAGGCAGCTACTGCAACTCTCTGCCTTTTCTGCAAGCGTATAGCTTTCTAAAATGCGCTGTGGGACATCTGAGTGGGCAGAGCTTATAGAAGAGCGGCTGCAGGGAGCAGTTTGAAACAAAGAGTCTTTTTTGAATTCTTCTGTACAATCATTGCATTGCCATGAAGTCCTAGAAGAAGACGCTACATATGGTAAAATGTATTGTTGAACATAAGATAAAGGGGCATCGTTGTTATTAGGTACATCGGAAGCTACCAAATCTGTAGAATCCAAGTGAGCCTCAGAAGGTACATGATGGATATAGCAATCAGAACAAACTGCAGAACTCAAATTTATTTGAGAATCTTCTACAAATGTAAAAAGAGAAGGGGTATCAATGTTTTGTTTTAATTCAGGAAATAGCTCAGGAGAAGCTGGGGCACTGTCAAATTTTGGTATATTAAAATGGGTATCAATATTAGTTAAAGAGTTTGATTCTGGAGACGATTCAAAAACACAGGTTGGATATAACTTCAAAGAGAAATTTGAATTAAAATCAGAAGATGGGGTGTGAGAAATAGATAGAGGGTGGGGGGTACTATTAGTGTCATTGGTAGTGAGAAGTGAGGGATGCAATTGAAGAGTGTTCGTTTCTGGAGGTGGAGATGGGGATTGAGATGGGGATGGTATTATTAAGTTTTTTCTTTTTGTTCTACCACGCTTTCCCTTAGGAGCCATAGGGTCTTTTTCTACAGCCAGCTTTTTCCGCTTAGTGGTGGATTTTACAATTGAGAAGCTGGATGAAGATACTGGTGAAGCCGAAGAAGGAGATGAAGCCACAGATACAGATACAGATGCATTGGTTCGTTTTGAACCCTTTGCAGAGGATTGGCGCACATCTCGCTTCAAAAAGGCTGCAAATAGCTTTGCCTTGAGATCAATCTCAGGAGGTCCAGTGCTAGGTTGAGCAGTGCCAGAAGAAGAAGAAGAAGAAGAAGAAAGTGGGAATGCAGGTGAGGTAAAAATCTTAGGTTGTTGTTGTTGTTGTTGTTGTTGTTGTTGCTGAAGATTAGATATAATTCTCTGATTTTGGTCGACAATTGGTGTTAATGGGCCATTAGAAGAATAAGTTGGTTGGCCAGGTGCAACACAGGGAATGTGAGCCAGTGGGGTCTTTGGAGAATTAAGTGGGTCCAAAGAGATATTTTCATTTGTAGGAAGGATTTGACTATCATTGTTTTCAAAAGACATTGTTATTATTTCTAGAAGGAAAAGAAAGGATAGTTAGTTAAGAGTCACAGAAAGGGTATTTTTGGGAAAGTTTAGTGACTGGAACAAACTCCAGTCCCTGGAACATTAGAGAGTTACAAAAAGATAAAGGATGAGTGGTAGTATGAAAAGAAAAGGATAGGTATAGTTAAAGCGACTTTTGAAAAAGAAAAATAACAAGAGATAATAGTTTGAAAATAGAATGGCTATAAAAGAATAAGTCCTGGTAGAGATTGCCAGCTGGCGAAGAGAGGTTCTGAGTGGTGATTGGGAAGATCAAAAAGTGTGTGGCGGGGAGAGGGTCACGATGGTCATTAAATAATGTAGTCATGTGACTTATGTGGGACTTTGAGGCGGTTTGTATTGTCGGGAGAGGGAAAAAAAATGAACTGTCGTTGACGAGGTTTCCGGATAAGTTTTAAAGCAATTCTTTTTTATAATTAAAAGTTTACTTTATAATAACAACAAATAATTGGTTTATTTAAAAGTTTGTGAATTGACAAATTTGTATCGTTGCCACGAAGAAGTTCCCTTGGTCGGTTCCCTTGGTCAGTTTCCTTGGTCAGTTTCCTTGGTCAGTTCCCGTGGTGTCTGTGCGCCCTAGCCCTGGTGCATTCATGGACCTTAATGCTTGGGCAAACGAATATGTCATTCAAATATTTGTTTTTGAAACTATTTAGCATATTTTTTACATGTGGGTTTACCAGACCCACCAGGGTTAGGGCGGGTCAAAATATGGCCCGGTGGCAACCGAACATTGAAAAAAAAAAAAAAAAGGATTACTAGAAAAACAAATATCAAAAAAAAAAAATGACTTGTAAATAAATAATATTGATCAAGTTTAGTACTATAAAAGTAACTTTTATTTCCATTTAAAACTGATTCTTCAATGTTGATTTCGTTTTCAAGAAAAACCTAATGAAACCCTAACCCTTTCTAGATAAAAAAAAATTTTTTCTTCATTCAAACCAAAATTTTTCAGCCTTTTCTTTTCAACATTTTGCCTACACATACACACACATAGACGTTACACATAAATCAAAAATGGCCCGCAGAAGACATAAGAAGAGAACGCACGTCGAGGATGCTGAAGATGCTGTCGACAATACACCCAAGTCGATGGTCATTAAGCTGACGCGTCGAGGTCATGGTACTACGTCGCTTTCGCAGCTGGTCAAGGACTTTCGCCAGCTGATGCAGCCACATACAGCAATCAAGCTACGCGAGAGATCTACAAACAAGCTCCGTGACTTTATCTCAATGACAGGTCCATTGGGTGTTTCTCACTTGATGGTTTTTTCAATTTCTGATGGGGGAAATACGAATCTTCGTATATGTCGTTCGCCACGCGGTCCTACCATGCAGTTTCGCGTGTTGGAGTACTCGCTGTGCAAGGATGTGACCAAGTTTGTCAAAGCACCCAAGTCTCCATCTGGACTATTGTATGCTGCCCCACCACTTTTGGTGTTGAATGGGTTTGTTGCTGACCGCAAGGAAGCTCCACAGGAGGCACTGCTAACGTCCATGTTCCAGAATATGTTTCCTCCTATTTCAGTGCAAGATAGCAAGGTTTCGTCTATTAAACGTGTGATGATTTTGAACAAAGATCCAGAGACAGATGTGATTGAGTTACGTCATTATGCGATTGAGACTAAAATTGCGGATGTGTCTAAGGGTGTGAAGCGATTGGCCAATATGAAGAACAAGACTCATCGGGCGATACCCAATCTGAGCCGTGCTCAAGATATATCTGAGCTGATTACTGATCCATACAGTGTGACTGGATACAATAGTGATTCTGAAGTGGAAGATGATGCTCTTGTGGAGATTGAGCAGCGCAAGAAGATTCGCATTAAGGCAAAGGATGCTGGTGAGACAATGCAAGAGAAGGAAGGGGAGGACAATGAAGAAACTCATGAGGATGAGGAAGAAGAAGATGAGCAGGCAGACAAGGAGATGTTCCCTACTGAAGAGACCAAGCCTAAGACTCGGGTGGTTACAGAAAGTTTAGGTACTCAGAAGCGAGCAATCAAGCTTGTAGAGCTGGGGCCACGACTAAAGCTGGAGTTACGTAAAATTGAAGAGGGCATGGCTGAGGGCAAGGTTTTGTATCACAAGTACATTAAGAAGACAGCAGCTGAGGTTAAGGAACTTGAACGGAAGCATTCGGAGAAGCAGCGGTTGAAGGAAGAGCGTCGTAAGGTCCAGGAGGCTAATATCAAGAAGAAGGAAGCCAAGGGTGGTCGCATGAAGCGTGCTAAAGATAAGGCTCGTGCTGCTGAGGGCAAAGATAACGATGATGAAGAAGAGGAGAATGGTCGTGGTGATGATAATGATGATGATGATGACGAAGATCTTAATGGTGATGATTTGTTTGCTAGTGATGGTGAGAGTAAAGATGAGGGTCGTAAAGGATCAGCCAAGAAACGCAAGGTTGCACACTTTGATGATCTTGGAGAGGAAGATTCAGATTGAAAGGTATATATATAATAATTATAATTATAACAGATGTTAAGAATTAATAATAGAGATATAATAAGGACTTTTGACCTGATTTGGCTGAAGATTTGTCTTGTCTTTTTGTTTGAAGGGCATTAAAAAAATGGGCTCTATCGGAGAAGTTCAGCCGCACGTGCGCTGTTTTCCCCAATGCGGATATTTCACGTGACATGTTAAGCCGTTATCTCTCTTGAGGATTTCTAAAAAAAAAAAAAAACCCCGCCAGCAGCTGACCTGCAGGAAAAAAAAAATCTCACACACATTCACACACACACACACACCATTTTTTTTTTTTTCTTTCTTTAAAATTCTCTTTTTTTTTTTTTTCCCTCTCCACCATAAAAAAAAAAACATCTCTATCCGAAATCTTAACTTTCCATATCTGCTTCTATATAACCCTATATTAGATGCCGCCGTCGCCTCTCATGTCTGCTGCAAATAGAATCAACCTGGACGGGGTCCCGCAGTGGCAGCCTGACGACCAGGTCTTGGCTTGTCCTCTCTGTGATCACCGCTTTACCCTCTTTTTCCGACGCCACCACTGTCGGTAAGTACCTACCTTTTATAGATATAAATATATACATGATAACATGCCAACTCTTGTATTATATAGTCGCTGCGGAAGAGTCGTTTGTGGATCTTGTTCTGCCGTCAAAACTACGTATCTGCCATCTTCATACGTTGTGTGCCCTCCTTCTCAGATCTTTCTCGAAACACCCCACATCCCCCACCGCACATGCGATGAGTGTGTGGAAGAACTCGAAATGATCCGCTCAGCTCTCAGAGCTCATATCCCGGCTTCTCGGTCGTCCCGCTCTGGTGGTAGTGGCTCACGAGCTGCTCAAGATGGGTCCTCTTCTACTGTCACTGCTCAGAGTCAAGGTGCAACACCCATTGTAGCACCGTTGTCGCGCCGTTTGCGTCGCTCTAGTAGTGCAAGTAGTATAATCCGCGCACCCGTGACTTCAGCTAATAACCGCCCAGCCACAATTACCTCCCAAGAACATCATAACCATCATAACCAAAATGTCTCGCTTCCTACCAGTGCTGGTCCATCCTCATCATCATCGTCCGCAGGCCCAAGCACGTCACCTCAACAATCATCATCATGTGCCCATAAACGCATTTTCCAAGTCGAATCAACAGCTGTCGCTGTTGAAGACGAAGAAGACGATGACAATGATAATGATAATGACGCAGATTCCATTGCTGGCCCATCTTCTGCTTCAGACCAACATAACATGGCTCTCCCACCGTTGCCAGCCACTACGCGATCCCACCGTGATAGCGCAAGTAGTGCTGCCACACTGACATCTGCGAGCGGGACTCCGCAGACGTCATCATCTCTGTCACTCCGTCGCTCTAGCCGTCGCCACAACCACGAGTCGTTGTCAACTCCTGTAGCCGAGCTTGATGAAGACGACCGGTGTCCTGTGTGCAACAGGCGGTTTGACCCCTTGCTGACGGAAACGGACCGCGAAAATCACATTACAGAGTGTCTTAAGGAAGCCGAATTCTCCGGGTCCCTTGAACAAACGCATCGTGCTAACCGTATGATTGTCTACAAGCTTTCTGCACGTGAGGCAAAAGCACTTGGCGAATGCGTCATTTGCTTTGAGGACTTTGTAGAGGGCGACTCAGTGGGCCGCTTGGAGTGTTTGTGTATCTATCACGAAAAGTGTATTCTCGATTGGTTTGCACGCAAGGGCGCCGGTGAGTGTCCTGTTCATGCTGTCCATGTGTAAATAACCTCCAACAAGGGGGAGGCAGAAGGTTTTAAAAGATGGTTCTAAAGGGATAAGGCTGTTTGAGTTTATTTTAAGTTTATGATTTACATGGGATTTTCTTTTTTAAAGGATGAAAATTATTTATATAAAAAGGTTGTTTTTTTAGGTGTTTGAAAATATTTGATTTTTATATTTGATGAGAATTTGATGAGAGTTTACCGGGACGTGTCCCGGGGTGGAAATGTTTGTTTGTCTTTACCAAAACTTCCAAGGCTCCCAAACATCAACAACGGTATCCCCACCATCAACCACAAAGTAGAACTTGTGCATGGCTGCAATGATACACGCATGTTGCGGGTACAATGCAACCTTATCACCCAACTTCCATGGCTTGAGTTCAGCCTCGGACTCAGACCCAGTTACGGGACCGACACGCTCTAAAATTCCATGCTCCTGCGAAACTCTAGAAATGACCCAACCTGTTGTAGAAGCTTCCCAAGGAACCCGTGCACGCGCAAGCCCACGAGCCATTTCGACTTTTGAAGGATCACCATGCCCGGGTTCTCTGGTCAACGCCAACACACCAGCATTCAAAAGATACTCGGGGCCACCAGATACTCCGCGCGTCGGGTAATAACCTACAGTCTCTGCCTGAAGCCAGCATGCCACATCATCGAGAGCAGCCAGTGAGGTAGAGACTTGCTGAAGATCGAGTGCAACAAAGTTGCCAGCATGTAACTCTAGTGTATCATCAGCGTGCAGACCTGTTTGAGCAAGAGCTTGAACATCAGGGTGGGAAAGTGCATGGGCAGTAGGAGTAGCACCAATGGAAAGTAAAAACGAGTGAGACTCTGACTTTAAAATAGTGCGTGCAGAAGTCGCCGCTCCGGTAACGGCACCAAGCTCGCGAGCCAAGTGTTGTTGAACAGCAGCAAGATCCCAAGCATCATAGCTCATTCCTGCATGGGCATAAAATCCACGGAGAGTCGCCAATGGCGAAGATTCAATTTCTTTGATGAGAGCCTCGAACTCTGGGGTGCCCACGCGAGCACCTGCACGATGCTCATCTGCATCAATCTTGACCACAACTTGCCAAGGGGAATCATCTGGGATAGCTGCAGTATCAATGAGCTCGAGTTGACCGACATCGTCAACAAATAGCGAAAGATTAAATCCAGGAATAAGAGCAGAGTATTCTTTGCGAAGAGCAGAAAGCTCTGGGAGGTGAGAGCGAGACACAGGAACACCGTAGATGATGTCTTTGAGGATTCCCTCCTGGACTAGAGCCTTTACGCCGCGGATTTCCGCGAGTGTGGATGCCACGACTGCATCAAACTTAGGAAGATCAGCCACAGCCAAATCGTGCGCCGGTCCATTAATTGAGTATCCAAGTGCAGCACGTGTAACTTCCAAGGACTTGAGAGTCTTGATATGTGGACGGAAAGTCAGTGTCCGAGTCGGGTTGGCCGTAGTTGCTAGGGCAGCGGCAATGGACGGGTCCGCGACCTTCGTCAGCATTCGGCGGACATTATTAGCTACACGGGACTTGTCGACGATAAAAGCTGGGGATGGAAGAGAATTGGCAGGCTTGCCGATGTATTCCTTGGCTAGTTTGAGATCAGAAAGAGCAGCAGACATTTGTTGAGTTTGTTTATGATTAGAGATGAAGATAGGATTTGAAAAAAAAAAAAAAAAAAAAAAAAAAAAAAAAAAAAAGATGGGATTTTTAAAAGCATTAAGTTGTGTCACCCCCACTCCTTCTAAGTTTAAGCGCCATTAATATGATACTCGAGTTGCCGGATTGTCCGATTAGCCCTTACAATAATAAGAGCGCCGGCCATTGATTTTTAGGAATTGGAAGTGGGAATTATCGAGAGTTGTATGAATGAAGGACATTTGGAAATCTTATCAAGAAGCATGCACCAAAGGTGTCTCCGATTGGCTGGTGGGGATTTCTTTTTTTTTATTTTTAGAGTTTTTTTTGTTTAATATAGAAATTTGATCTTCACCACCAAACCAGCTAACAACCCCCACACATTAAAAATATTTAAAAATATGATTTTTATTTTTTATAAACAAAAAGAACGACTAACAAAAATTTATATATATAAAGACATCAAAAAAATATTAAAACTAATAATCCATCAGTGTATCGAAAGTTGAGAAAGTGAGTAAAATATGGTTACATGCAAAGAGGGATATATAGTACTCGCTTAAACAACCTTGAGCTCTTCCTCGCTAGACTGGCCATTTTCCTGGGCCACTCTGGCCTCGTATCTTTGCTTGGCAATATCGACTTCGCCGTGGTACTTCTCGCAAAGTTCCTCAAGAGTCTGGCGCTTAGTCTCAGGAATAAGGAGAGTAGTACCAATACCGCAAAGCATGAAGAGAGCAAAAATCTCCATGACGTGGTTAAGCCAACAGTTATCTTGCTTGGGACACTGGTGGTTAATCAGAGGACCCAAGACACACTGGGCAATAATGGCACCAACCTTACCGGAAGCAGCAGACATACCGTGGGCAGTGGATCTGTAACGAGTAGGGAAAATCTCACCAGGAACAATGAAAGTGGTGGTGTTAGGACCCCAGTTGCAGAAAAGCTGACAGAGAATGTAAAGAGCGAAAAGACCACCACTGGGAAGTCTGTGGTAAGCAAAACCGATAATGCAAAACAAAATAGTCAAAATAGTGAAACCACAAAGCTGAATGATTTTACGACCAACGATATCAAGAGTAGCGACAGAGAACCAGTAACCGGGAATGGCACCAGCGCAGGTCAGAATAATGTTACCAACAGCAATGTTGTGCAAGTTCTTGTGAATGTTCTTTTGACCAGCGAAACCAATAGCACCAAGAATGACTGAGTTGTTAAGACCGAGACCATAGTAAGCAACATCGAGGAAAAACCAAGAGCCGGCAGTACCAAGGAGAATTCTTCCGTGTTTCCATTGTCTGAAATGAGCCCAGAAATCCTTCCAAGAAGCTTTGGGGGGTTCGTAAGATTCATCATGGTTAGTTTCAACACGGAGATCCTCAACGCGGTCATTAGGAGCGTCACCAATAGCACCAGAAGTAAACTGTTCAGCATCAGCAGCAGCCTTTTCAACATCCTTGGAAACATCGAAAGTGTAACGGGGGGTTTCAGGAATAGTGAGACGGAAGTAAAGGGCACCCATGGCAGGAACAGCACCGAAACCAATAAGAATACGCCACATTTGATCGCAGGCCTTTTGGCATCTGTCGTCACATTCGGCAACAGAGTTGGCATAGTCAAGAGAGTGTTTGTAACCAGCAACGCAAATGACAGTAACGATACCACCAATGAGCTGACCCCAACCTTGGTTGGCAAAGACAGCACCCATAATGGCACCTCTCCACTTGGTAGTAGCAAACTCAGAAGTAATAATGGAAGAGAGAGGGTAGTCACCACCGATACCAATACCCATGACAATACGCCAGAATACAAGAACACCAACAAAGGCAACAGCATGAGAGTGACCAGTCATAGTTTGACCGATAGTAGCAGCAATGATAATCATAAGTTCAACACCGTAAATTTTCTTACGGCCAACAGCATCAGCCAGCCAACCAAAGAAGAGCTGACCGATGACAGTACCGACAGAAGTGGAGACCTTGATGAGGGTGGAAGTAGGAGAGGGGATTTTACCGTTATAGTGAGTTCCGGCACCCCAGTAGACGTAGGCAAAGATGGAAGTGGCGATGTTAATGGCGAAAATATCGTAAGAGTCAGTCATGAAACCAATACCGGCGACACAAATGGCACGGACGTGGTACCAACCAAAGGAAGCGTTGTCAATCTTTTCGAGAGCGAGACGGCGACGTTCATAAGGGTCGGTGATGTGAGCAAAATCGTTGACATAGTTGTGGAAGGCGGCGTTACCACCTTCGGTCTTGATGCCATCTGCAGTGACAGCAGCCATTGTTTAAAATTGAAGGCAAGAAATAGAAGGAGAAGGGATTAAAGAGAGAATGGAAAGAAAGAGGATAAGTTGTAAACTTCTCTTGCTGGTGGATATGCTAGTGAAAGCTAATGAAGAGAGAGAGATAGAATACGAAGAAGTATAAAAAAGGAAGAGAATAAAAAAAAATTTTTGGCAAAAACAAGGAGAATTGGATTGTTATTTATATTGGAGTATAATTGATAATAATTGAGAATTAAGAAACAAGCGAAAGTAATTATTGAGATACCACTGGGATTTAAGTCCGGCATACAAAAAAAAAAAAAAAAAAGAGAAAAAGAAAAAGAAAAAGAAAAAGAAAAATGTTAAGGGTACACATACTATAATTTTTTTTTATTTTTTTTTATTTTTGAGTAGTAATGGCCATATAATGAACTTCTATTTCTTATAGAACACAAGTATTAGTCCGACCATCACGTTTTGATTTTTGTATTAGGAGGGGTCGTAGTTTGTTGTATAAGGGATTTAGACGAGGATATTTTTACGAGACGGTTAAAGGAATTGAAAAGAAATGTATGTGTGTGATTGAATGTACTAAACTTTTGGTATCTTTTTGAAATTTTTACTCAACTTTTTTTTTATTTTTTTTATATTTATTTTTATTTTTATTTTAAAAATAAATTATTTCTTTTCCACTAGGATGTTCTTTCAATCAATAATAATACTTTAGTACTACTAATACTACGGGAATATCAGAAAGAAATGAAATTTAAAGTTTTATTTTTACTCTGATAATTATCAATCATTATTATTTTATAAATTTTATAAATATTTTTTCATCAATATGAAAAAAGCCCATAGGAATTTTTTGTTTGTTAGTTATTTTTTTTTTTTGGGTGGCCCATTGTTTCTTTCAATATCAGATTTTTTTTTTTTATCTCATCATTTTGAATTTTTTTTTTTTTATTTTTTTATTTTAATTTTTTTTATTTTGGTCCTTCGACGAAATCGCGCATTGGGAAAAACGGGTACTAATTTTGTGTCAAAATCAAAATCAAAATCAAAAATAAAACTTGGCTTTTATAAAAATGATCTTGGCAAAAGACCATTAATCAGTTATTAGAAAGGTGATCAACATAATAATAAATTTGCGCATAATAAATAAATAAAAATAAAAAAAAAAAATTTTTATAAATAAAAATAAACATTTGATCCGAATTCTCCGTTTTTTTTTTTTATAAAATCTTGTGTTTTTATCGAAAGAAAAAAAAAAAACACATTTTGGCAAAATATCATTTTTTTTTCTTTTTTTAATTTTAATTTTTTTAATTTTTCAAAAATCTGCCTATCATAGCCTGGGGTTGATGACCGTGCCCTGGGAGTTGCATCTAAGGTAATCAAGCTAGTTTCCAAATTAGGAAATATGCAAAATCAAAATACTATTCTTTCATTTTATTATTTTTAAAAAAAATATTATTAGAGACAAAAAAACTATATATAAATTTATATTAAAACATTCATTAAAAACAACAATCCCCAATCACTGAGTTCTAAAAAAAATATGCAAAAAGAGTGAAACAGAAAATAATCAAAACTTTTTTTTTTCCTTATCCTTTCCCCTTTCTTTAAACCATCTTCTCATTGCTGCCATCATCAGAAGCAACAAGATTGGCTTGGGCTTGCTGGTACCGCTGCTTAGCAATATCAATTTCACCATGGTGCTTCTCGCAAAGTTCCTCAAGAGTCTGGCGCTTAGTCTCAGGGATAAGGAGAGTAGTACCAATACCGCAAAGCATGAAAAGAGCAAAAATCTCCATGACGTGGTTAAGCCAACAGTTGTCCTTCTTGGGACAGTTGTGGTTAATCAGAGGACCCAAGACACACTGGGCAATAATGGCACCAACCTTACCGGAAGCAGCAGACATACCGTGGGCAGTGGATCTGTAACGAGTAGGGAAAATCTCACCAGGAACAATGAAAGTGGTGGTGTTAGGACCCCAGTTGCAGAAAAGCTGACAGAGAATGTAAAGAGCGAAAAGACCACCACTGGGAAGTTTGTGGTAAGCAAAACCAATAATGCAAAACAAAATAGTCAAGATAATGAAACCTAACAGCTGAACAGGTTTACGACCAACGATATCAAGAGTAGCGACAGAGAACCAGTAACCGGGAATGGCACCAGCACAGGTAATGATAATGTTACCGACGGAAATGTTGTGCAAGTTTCTGTAAACATTGGTTTGACCGGCGTAACCAATAGTGGCGAGAATGACAGAGTTGTTAAGACCGAGACCATAGTAAGCAACATCGAGGAAAAACCAAGAGCCGGCAGTACCAAGGAGAATCTTTCCGTGTTTCCATTGACCAAAGTGAGCCCAGAAGTCCTTCCAAGAAGCTTTAGGGGGTTCATACTCCTCCTCGTGGGTAGCAGTTTCGCGAAGCTCATTTACATCAGCATCAGGAGCGTTACCAATGGCACCTGAAACAAATTGGCCAGAGTCGGCAGCAGCCTTTTCAATATCACGGGAAACGTCAAAAGTGTAACGGGGGGTTTCAGGAATGGTAAGACGAAAGTAAAGAGCAGCAATGGCAGGGACAGCACCAAAACCGATAAGAATACGCCACATCTGGTCACATGCCTTTTGGCATCTGTGGTCGCACTCAGAGTAACCCTCAGCATACTCAAGAGCATCTCTGTAACCAGCAACGCAAATGACAGAAACAATACCACCGAGAAGCTGACCCCAACCTTGGTTGGCAAAGACAGCAGCCATGATAGCACCTCTCCACTTGGTAGTAGCAAACTCAGAAGTAATAATGGAAGAGAGAGGGTAGTCACCACCGATACCAATACCCATGACAATACGCCAGAATACCAAAACAGCAACAAAGTTAATAGCCTTTGACTCACCCGTCATAGTTTGACCGATAGTAGCAGCAATAATAATCATGAGTTCAACACCGTAAATCTTCTTACGGCCAACGACATCAGCAATCCAGCCAAAGAGAAGCTGACCAATGACAGTACCGACAGAAGTGGAGACCTTGATGAGAGTTTGAGTGGAGGAAGGCATTTTACCCTTGTGGTCAGTGCCGTAACCCCAGTAGACGTAAACAAAAATGGAGGTAGCAATATTAATGGCGAAAATGTCAAAAGAGTCAGTCATGAAACCGATACCGGCGACACAAATGGCGCGAACGTGATACCAGCCAAAGGAGGCATTGTCAATTTTTTCGAGAGCGAGACGGCGACGTTCATAAGGGTCGGTGATATGGGCAAAATCGTTGACATAGTTGTGGAAGGCGGCATTGCCACCGGATGTTTTGATACCTTCTTGAGTAACTTCAGCCATTGTTGGATGGTTATAGAAGAATTGTTGATTCTCTAAAGGTTTGTGTTGAAGATGTTGAATTGATATAGAGATAAAGAAAAAAAAAAAAAGGAAAGAGAAAGAAAGAAGAAAAAAAAAGAAGAATTATTGGGGAGGGAAAGGCCAGTTATTTATATTGCTAAGAGATATAGTAGACTTTTTAAGAAAGAGTAATAGATATCCGGAATAGAATTTTTTTTATTTAATATATTTATTATATTTATTATATTTATTTATTTTTGGTATAAGAATCCGCTTGGATAAGTTTTACGCCAGGTCTTTCCTATTGGTTTGTATTTGAAGTTTTTAATTTTTTTTTTTTTATTTTTTGCTCTAAAGTGGTTATTTTTTTTTTTTGTTTCTTTCTTTATTATTTATTTCTATCTGTCTTTCCTATTGATAATCACCAATCTTCGATCTATGTGGTTTATATTTGATGATTAGTTTTCTTGAGATTATTTATGTCCATCAGATTCATGCCAATAACTAGCCAAGAAAAAGTCAATGTTTCTTGTTTTATATATATATATATATATTTCTTATAAATAAATAAAAAATCTCTGGGCTTGGTGATGATGAATCTTTAAATGCCTAGAGATTTTTTTTTTTTTAAAAAAAAAAAAGCTTTAAGGGGGGAGGAGGAAGAAGAAGGGAGGCAAAGGAAAAAGTAAAGAGCACTGCAATTGTTGCTACCGTCGGAAGACCAAAATGCAACGAAAATTTAATCAAAAATAAATAAAAAAAAAATAAAAAAAAAAAAAAAGTCTACGCGAGCTTTGGTGGAAGTTCTTGGCAAAATGGCCCAAATGGTAGAATATGATTGTGTAAATTCTTATTATGTATTTAGTAAAAAATTAAATAAAAGTTTCTATATATATTTATATTTTTTTTATTTATTTCAATTAAAATTCTTCGATATAACAAGTTTCTTATTGTTTGCGTATTTCAATGTTATGGGAAAAATCTACAGTTTAATAAAAAAAAATAAAGACCCTTGAAATTGTGGGGGAGATATCACAAGTATATATATATATATATATATATATATATGTTGACTAAACTACTCATCCTCATCTCCAACATCTAACTATAAAAAAAGGCTCTTTTAAAATTGAAAAGATTTAAACATTAATTTAAGCATAATCATAGAGATTTCTATACCCTCTAGATACTGCATTTTTTAAATTAATACCAATGGATCATTTCAAAAAAAAAAATAATATATATATATATATATATATACCGTGTTTGAAGTATAACTATTAAAGAGAAAAGTCTGGTGGTGGTAATGATATTATTATTAAACAAAAAAAAAATACCAACGGAAGATCACCTCCATATACATACACTATCCATTGTATATTTTTACATCTGGCCATTTCACATACAAAAAAAAAGCTTCTGGAAGAAGAAACGGACTTTTCTTTTCTTTTCTGGTTTTTTTTTTTGTTTTTTCTAACTGGCACTTCTGGTGGATTATTATGGCGGGTCCTTGCTATGCACGTTTTGAAGTCTGTGGTTTTGCAATGAATAAAATGTCCTACTATTATAATACAAATACAAATACTAATAAAACTTCTTTTAAAAGTTCTTGTTGTAGTTGAACCTTTTTTTTTTTTTGCACGTGGGGAATATGGTACTAAACGGCGCGGCGTTTTTACGTAAATTTTAATTCTTTTTTTTTTTAATTTTTTTAATTTTTATTAAAGACAAGGCTGATTGATCATCAAAGGATATTTTATGTATTTTTTTTTTAATATTTTTACGCAATACAAATTCTCATCACATCACACATACAAAAAATATCGGACAAAATAGTTTCAAGTCTTTGACTACTTGGGGAATGATTAATTTGTATTGTAAAGTTTCAATAGCTAAACTTTTTATTGAAAAAAAAAAATTAAAAAAAGAAAATTTAAAATTCAATTTTTTCTTATTCATATTCTACTTTAATGTTTCTCTTTACTCTTTACAATTAATTAACTTTTATATATATATTCAATCAATTCTTAAAAGGCGACAGCAATTATGGTGGCCGGAGGAAGAAACAAAACGTGTGTGTTGTTAGTTGAGTTTTTAGCGAGCAAATAGAAGCGCACAAAATCAGCACACGTTTATTTTTTTTTTTTTTAAACTGAAGATATCAAAATTATATAAAACGGGCCAAAAAAAAAAAAAATTTTTCTTCTATTAACAAAAAGTTAAAAGTCTAAAATAAATAAATAAAAAAATTTTTTTTTTATTTTTAATTTTACTTATTTCTCTTGTACACTGTCAATTGTACCAAAAACAAATATTATCCTATTAAACTTCCTTGTTTACATCAAAGTTTTATATAGTTGAAAGGCTTTTTTTTTTTTTTTACTTTCTTTCAAGTAGGACTTCCAATTAAGATGACCTGCGTAACATAGGAAAAAACTTTCTTCTTGGAAGAAGAAGAAGAAAAAAAAAAATTTTTTTTAGAGATTGCTTTTTTTTTTCATTAAAAATACATCATAGAAATACTTAAAGAAAAAAAAAAAAAATTAAAAATAAAGTCCCTACATTTGTATCCGCATGGATGGACCCATTGGCCATTGTCTTTTTAATAATTGCGATGATGGCAAATGGGCTTTAGTAGAAATAAAATTATTCTTTATTTCTTTATTTCTGTATTTCCCTTCCTTTTCCTTTAGCCCCTTCCCCCTTTTTTTTTATATATATTGTCACCATCAAAATGGGATATTGATGGCGATGATTCTGGTTCGACTTTTTTTTTTCTATTTTATTTTCCAATTTATGCTTACATAGATGTTTAATATATATATATATTTCTAACCTACTAAATGAAACCGGACAATTCCATCAGTTCCTTAATTTTTTTTTATATTGTATCAATTATAAAAAAAAAAATAAAAAAAAAACATCTTTAAAATTTTTAATGGTTGATGATGATGATGATTCATTGTTAGTTTTTTTTTATTTTATTTTTTTTACGCTTATTAATAATTTCCCCCACCTTCTCGACGGTTTTATGCCAATCGTGGGCGCACGTTTTTTTTAAAGTTTTTTTTGGTCAAAATGTACGGCTGAAATATCCCAATATTACATATTTACTTTTTTTTTTTCCCCCCCAGACGGAACTTGTTAAAAAAAAAAAATAAATAAATAAATATATCAACACTGCATAGTTTTTTTTTTTTTTAAGTCTGGTACTATACACACACACACATAACTTTAAGAATTAAAAAAAAAAAAAAAATTTGACATTGAAAAAAAAAAATTTTTTTTTTTCCACACACAATTCGGAAATACAAATCTAGTAAATAAAGCCCGAAAATATTAATATAAAGGTAGAAATAAAATTGGAAAAAAAAAAAAATTTATTTTTAAACTTAGAAAATTGTTAGTAATAAGGTGCATGAAAAAAAAAAATGAAAATGAAAAAAAACGTGGATTAAAGAAGAAATTAATCACAATCTCTCTCTCTTTTTTAAACCAATTGGCAAATTTTATCTGGTCACACGCATTAGAAATCACTAAATACAAGTCTAGTTTAGTCTGTCTATCAATCAATCAATCAAAAGTTGTAAATTATAAAGAAACATGATAAATTACTACAATTAAATCAATTAAACAAGTATTATTCTGCAAAAAAAAAAAAAAAAAAAAGTAAACTTTGACATTTTTCTAAATACCGGAATTTCAATTGCACATGTATTCTTTCTTCTATAGTTAGATACTATACATTACTTAAATAAAAATACTAATTAATTAATCATCAATATTGATTATTTCTATTCATTCTTAATTGAATTAGAAAAGAAGCAATTTGAGAGACATGGTTACTACTACTACTACTATTATTAAATACCTTCTTACATAGGAAAAAAAAGAAATTTTTTCAAACTAGAATCAAAACTCTCCAATCCTCTGGATGTGTGATGAGCCCTTTAGCTTACATTGGATCATTTCCCTTCATTAGTATCGTCATAATCATCATCATCATCATCATTATTATTATTATTATTATTATTGTTGTTCCTGTGGTCATATAATATAAATTCCCCTTTTATTTGAAAAAAAAAATAAAAATAAAAATAAATAAATCAACTTGGAAAACCCATCCATTTGGATCGGTTTCATTTATTTATTAATTAATTTTTGCTTTTTGTTTATTGTCGAATGTTTAAAGAATCCCTATTTTTTTTAATCTATTAAAAATAATTCAAAGTTTACATCCTTTTTTTTTTTGGTACACAATTAATTAATTAAATAAAAAAAAGTTGAATAGTCTACATCAAACTTTATAATATTAATAATGTGAAAAAAAATACTCCTCTTCAATAAGCTTTAATTAAGCTTAGAATAAAGAGAAAAAAAATTTGTGTTTATTTTCATGTCATCTGTGGCGTATGAAAAATTTTGAAAAATTTTTAAAAAAAAAAAAAACAGGTGAGCTAGTTAACAGAACAAGGACTTGAAAAAAAAAAAATTAAAAATTAAAAGTGATATTTCCTTAGTCAAAGTATCTTTTTTTTTCAAATACTAATCCTTTTTTAGAAATATTCCCAACGATGAGATGCCTTTCTTTCTTTCTTTCTTTCTTTTCATTTTCATTTTTAGTTTTAGTTTTCCTTTTCGTTTCAGTCTTAGTCCTCTTGTGATCCTCTTTAAATAAACCCACTCAATTTTTTTTTTCGGGTTCCCTTTTGAAATTGCCCTAAAAGTGGTTCAATTTCTTATATATATATATTTCTTTTTTTTTTCATTTTTGTAGTCCGCGTATAAATTTCTAGCTTACAAACTCAAGGTACGTATATGGTCAATGTAAAAATATTTTACTCCATGAGAATAAATAAGTGTGTCAACTAGGGGAATAGACTACAGAGTATATAGGATACACTCCATACTTGCCTTTTGTTTGTTTGTTTTTTTTTTTTTTTACAATTTCTTACAAGTATCTCTAGGTGTATGTATATTCAAGTATCTAAATAGCATCA